CTTTTCTTTGTATGGTGATTTTAATTTTTTTTTTTCGCTTTACTGAATTGATTTACCAATTTGACAGGCTTTTGGTGGGATGTTTTAGGTTTTTCTATGGATGCAACATGTCACCTGCAAACATGGCTACTTCGACTTTCTTCTTTCCAGTTTTGTGACACTTGTGTTCTTTCTCTTTCCTAGTGGTACCCTCTGATTCTCCCAGTAGTTCGCTGAGTAAGAGGGGAGAAAGTGGACATCTGTGTATTATTTCAGATAAAGAGGAAATGCTCTCAACTTTTTCCCACTCAACATGATATCTGTTGTACATTTATTACCCAAACCCTTTAAGTTGTGAGGTATATTTCTCTGTATCTAATTTGTTGAGCGTTTTTATACAGAAGAGATACTGAATCTCATCGTGTTTTCCTTTTTGCATCCGTTGAGACGGCAGGGCGTTTGTGCTTCACGCTGGCAATGTGGTTTGTGATGTTTATCAGTTCATGAGTGTTGAACTAGACTTGTATCACTGGGATTAATCCTGCTTGACTGTGAGTACGATCTATTTGATGTAGTATTTGGTTTGGCTTGCTAACAATTTGCTGAGAACTTTTGAATTTACAGTCATCAGGGATATTGGTTCATAGTTTTCACACTGTATTTTTTTTTTAATTTTGGCATTAGAGTAATGCTGCTATCATAAAAAGATTTTGCAGAGTTTTATCCTTTTCAGTATTTTTGAATAGTTTGAAAAGACCGTTGGCTTCATTGTCATTTGGTTCTTTGTCATAATCTTTTATCCTTTGTATTTCAGTGTGTCAGTTTCATTTCAGTTCACTTGTGAAAAATCGGTTGGCGATAGATGGTATGCTTCATTTCTGTTCCATTGATCTGCATGTCTGTTTTTATGTCAGCTCCTTTTGATTACAACTGCTTTATAGTACATCCCGAAGTCTGGCATTGATGTTGTTGTTGCTTCAGATTGCCCCAGCTGTTATTTAAAGAGAAGCTGGGAAAGGGGTATGAAGTGTCAAAATGGACACAGGTGTGACCACACATGTTGGCAGCTCATGCAATCTTTTTTTCTTTGAAAACTAATTATGAATCACTCAACCTTGAGCTGGAAAACAGTAAGTTTCCCTATAATCTGCCATCACCAAATCAAGCCCGTTCCCTAAGGATTTGCTTCCACCTGTGGCAGGAGCTTTCCAGGCACTTTGAATCAAGAAAAGTGAGAAAGAGCCCTTTAAATGTCTGTTTATAATCTACACACAGTAACATCGTTGCTGTAAAAACCTCAGGTGGACAAACTGTGTCTGAAACCAGAGAATGCTGATATGTTAAATTCAAAACCAAATAGCACTCCCTGTCTAAGAGAAGCAAATCCAAGCACAGGCAAGGTGAGTGCTTTAGCCACTAGGCTACCATGCCGGACCCGGAATGCTTTCTCTTGGTCTATCAAAATAATCACATGTTTTTTTTTTCTCATCTTGTTATATGGTGCATCACATTTATTGATTTGCATATGTTCTACTTCCCTGCAGACCAGGATTAAATTCCCTCTGATATGAGTGAATGATCTTTCTACTGTGTAGTGACTAGTTCCATACATTACAGGAAATGTTTTCAGATTTTTGGCATTCAGTTTGATGTTGGTTGTGGAGTTTTTATTTCTAACTTTTATTGTTTTGGGGTTTGACCCTTGTTTAGGCTTTGGAAGGTCAGCTCGTTGTCTCACTGATTCTTTGAATTAGTTTCTCAGTTCCTGCCTTGTTTATTTCTACTCTGATCTTTGTCATTAATTCCCTTTCACTAATTCGGGGTTCGATTGCTCTTGTTTCTTTCAGTTCCTGGATGTACTTAATTAGCTTGTATATATGACATCTTTCCATTGATTTATTATAAACAGAAGACTTAATACTATGAATTATCCTCGTAGTATTATTTTGATGGATCCTGTAAATTTTAATACGCTGTTTCATTTTTCATTAGTTTTGAGGAATTTCATTTCCTTCCTGATTCCATTCGGCTATGTTTCTCTGTGTTTGTATAATTCCTAACTTTCCTGGTGTTCATTTCTGTCCAAGACAGCTGGGCTAGATAAGGGAACCTAAAAGGCTATTTTAATTGCTGAAAAATCCATAAGGGATATTTGTTTGAAGAGCCCTCGTCTGGGAGGAGGGAATGGGGGAAGGTGCCTGTTCTCTCTGGCAGCACTTAGCAATACCTGGGAGGAAACTGCTAAGGCAGCACTCATATAAGGAGGTCCACAGCATTGACCTGCCAGGAGGAACCCCAGGCCATACCATGGGGCCCCCATTGGCCAGGCTTTACAGGAAAAAGAGACTGATGGAGCACAAGAGGTGGCCAGGCTGAAAATGACAGCCTGTGGCTGCTGTCTCATTGGCTTGAAATGAGAAAACATCCCACACATCTGTGATCATAACCCTTTTAAAAAGTACCTAGAGCATTGTACACCTGAGTTTACAGATGAGATTTCAAGGCATATTGTATTTAATCTGATATTTTCATTTGTCTTCTGGAAGATGAGCTGCTCAGACGATGAGTGAAGTGGAGCGGTGCTTTGGCCCATGGCAACCTCTTGATGGTTTCTGATTTTACACTTGGCAGCACTGGGGCGTTCTCAAGTTCCCAACATATTTGTTTCTTTAGCTTTGGGAAGCTAATCCTGGGTAAAGATTCTACCAGGAAACATATCTTTTACTTTGAACTGACAGGTTATTTGATCAAACTGATTATTTTGATCTTCATAGTAAAACTTGTGTGTGCATGCATACAAACCCAGACTTGTTGATTATTGGGGATTATAAGAAAAAAAAGGATAGACTACATTTTTGGAAGAAATAAAAGAAAAGGGAAATAAGATAGAGGTTAGGACAAATTAGGCAATTATGTAAAATTTAGAGAACAACATATTACGACTGAGGGCTTTTTAAAATGTTGGTTAAAAAAAAACCCATGTAATACAAAAATCACATCTTCTCCATCTTTAAGTGAAATTAACTGCCTAGCAGTTTTAAAGATATTTTTATAATATGAGGGCTCTAATACTCAGGAAAACTAACCTCCCGTTTTACGTTTCCTGCACGAGTAGCGTGTACGTGCTCTCCTATAGTGATTTGTGTCTTTGTGTGACTGGCTTACTTTACTGACTGGAAGGTTCACTCATGTTGGAATGAGTGGTGATTTCCTGCCTCGTAAAATGTGATTCATCGCCCGTCCCAAGGAAACCAGATCTTGTTTACTGATTCTTTGAGGTTTCTTTCACCTCCTGAGTACAGAGCAGTGCTGCTCTGTACATGGGTGCACAGAGCCCTCTCTGAGACGCAAGATTCTGTTGTCAATTCTTTTGTACATTTACCTTGAGGTGTAATTTATGGGACATAGGCCAGGTCTGTTTTATATTTTGGAGAAAAATCTTGTTTTATTTGCCATGGAAGTAACATGATGTTTCCACCCAATCAGTATTACATAACGTTTGCAATTATTTTTTATCTCCTTATCAGCATTCATTATTTGTCTTGTGATTTTAATAGCAGCAATCCTAGTGGACACAAAATAATATTTTACTCTGTTTTTTTTTTAAGATTTATTTATTTTTATTGGAAAGGCAGATATACAGAGAGGAGGAGAGACAGAGAGGAAGATCTTCCGTCCAATGGTTCACTCCCCAAGCGGCTGCAACGGCTGGAGCTGAGCCAATCCAAAGCCAGGAGCCAGGAGCTCTTCCGGGTCTCCCATGCGGGTGCAGGGTCCCAAGGCTTTGGGCCATCCTCGACTGCTTTCCCAGGCCACAAGCAGGGAGCTGGATGGGAAGCGGGGCTGAATGAATCAGAACCAGTGCCCATATGGGATCCCAGCGTGTGCAAGGCGAGGACTTTAACCACTATGCTATTGCTCCGGGCCCTACTCTGGTTTTTATTTGCGTTTCTCTGATGCTTGATAACACTTTTTGGCCAAAGACAGTTATATGTCATCTTTAGGGAAACTACTGTTCTGACTTTGTCCATTTTAAACTTGGATTCTTTGATTTTTTTTTTTGTTCTTATAGAAACTTGCAATATATTGCAGATGTTAACCTAATGTCAAATGTACTCTTGGAAGTATTTTGCTGTATGAGTTTCGTTTTTTCAGATCTTAACATTTGCGTGTCTAATCCACAAGTATTTCAACTTTGTGCATCAATGAAGTATCTGACATTTCTATGTGGCTCCCCAGATTTTCAACCACATTCTGAACGGACTGTCCTTTCCCTCTGAGTTATCTTGGCACTCAGTGAAAATCATTTTACCCAGTAAATGAGGCTTATTCTAATCAATTGTCTACATTTATATGTGTTTATTTTAGTAGCAAACTATTCTAACTTCTGTAGCTTTGTGTGACAGGTTTTAATACCAGAGACTGTAAGACATTAAATTTTGTTCCTTTTTAAGATGCCTGGATTATTTGGAATTTTTTTTGAAATCCCATTTAAATTTTATAATTGGTTTATCTTTCAGTCCCCAAAATGTTACCGACATTTTGATGCGGCTTGCCTTGTATCTGTCGAACTTCTTAGTAATACTCACCCTTCTATTTCATGCACACGGAATATACCAAGACTCAGTGGTTTGGTCACTTGTTGTGCTCACAGAACCCTCACCACCATCTCCTTCTGTAGACCGCACCGGAGTGACAGTTCCCGACTGCTGGCGACAAATTACAAGCTGAGGTCCCAGCACCCCAGAGGGACTAAAACCACTCTCAAGAGGAAGGCCGCAAAGTGAGGCACTGAAGGGCAGACAGATAACTTGATTCAGAAATTACCCTGTTCCTCAGACTTGCTCAATGCCAGGACATGCTTTAAAGTGTTTGCCTGTCTGAACTCTAGTTTGTAGAAGGCCAGCATATTAAATGTCACCTTGAAATAGAGTACAATATCAAGGCAAGGTAAGACAGGGGCTTTTTGCTTTTGACCTTACTGACCATTTCCCTCTTGTTCTGGATTATTTGCTTTGTAGATATGTCTTCACTGGAATTTATATTTTTGAAGCTTCGATAAAAATAGTAGCAAGCGGGTTTATTCTGGATGAATTTTCTTTCCTTCGAGATTTATGGAACTGGTTGGATTCCTTTGTCATTGGAGCAGCGTAAGGATATTAAAGATTTTTACTGAAGAGACTTGGGGTGGGAAAGAAGTCCTTCTGCTTCTATTAGGCTTCTGAGTGGGTCCACATGAATCATTGAGTAAGGCCTGCTTACATCCACAGCTTTGAGACTAGTGTTGGATGGCCCTGAGCAGTGCCTTGGAGCCAAGGGGCTGTAACTCTAAGCACAAATCCATAGCTAGGCCAATAATCATATTCATATTTCCTTAGTCCTTCACAAACACTGCCCATTAGTAAGCCAAATTCTGTGCATGCAAAGGGACATGGTTCTCATGAAACTCACAGACCAGAGGGGAAAAGAAGCAACCAATCACAATGTGATATGGTATGTGCCAGTGGATCAGGCTGTGGTCATATAGGAAAAGTCAATGAGTCTAAAAGTCCTAGCTTACCACAGTAGTACAAAGGGCTTCACTCATATTTATACCCAATAGTTCTATTTGAGATATTTTTATATGTATAGGCCTATGGTCCATTGAGAATGGATTACTGCAAATAAATAAATAGGATGAGCTGAGGAGTAATGTTCTTCCTGAGGGTTGTGCTGCTTTGACAACTGCATAATGGGGCAGAGCAAATTAAAATCGAGAGAAGCAGCATGCCATTGCCTATATAACAACAGCCTAATTACTTGTTTGGGCCAGGCATTGTGTTAAGCACCTCAAATATACTTTTCTATTTAGTATTCACACAAGTTGTTGGAGATAAGTGCTACAAATTCAGAGTTTTACATTTGCCCAATGGCTGTGTTCTCTTTGTTACCAACAGGTGGAATAGAGCATTGGTTAAGAGTGTGAATTCTAGATAATTAAGTCCTGGGTTCACATCCAGCCATAGCCATGTAGTGACTGGGAAACTTTAACCAAACGTGTTGGACTCAGAACTTAGCAATCAGTCAAAGCAGTGTGGACAGATTTCTATTCCCACTGGATGTGGCTACAACTGATTGTTTCAATGTATCTTTACCTTTGCCTACTCTGAAGAGTGGCTAAAGACAGCCTCCTGTGCAGTCCATGGTCCACACTAACGGACATTGAGACTCTCAGAAGCTGAGATGAAGGTGGGGATGGGAAGGAGAGCTACAGAGTTTACCATGGTGGGCAAAGAGTCCAGGCAGTTTGAAGGAGTGTGGTACAGCCCCAGGACAGAGCGGGCCTGGGCTCTCCCTCTGCTTTATCTTGCAGGATCATATCCTTTTTTCCAAACATCTCCCTCAAGCTGTTGCCCCTGCGTACCTTCCGAGTATTCAGAGCTTTAAAAGCAATTTCTGTGGTTTCAGGTAAGTCATTCTAACTCTAAATACTGCTTCTTAGCTGGAGAGAATGTTCTACCATTAAATTTCTCAAAATGTCATTGTGGAACCCCCAAACAAACAAGTCAACCGTGCTTTATGCAGTTACTTGATGGTTCAGCCAGTAATTATTTAGCACCTAGTATGTCCAGGCCTGTGCTAGCCACTTCAAGTCTGCTTGTAAGACCAAGGGCCACATGCCCCTACAGAATTGGTGTTTAAAGATGAGGGCTGGAGACACTGAAATGCAACAATCACAAATTTGAATTTGTAAATTACATACTGTGGACAATACTGTTGTAATAATAGAGGGGAAAACAGTGGAGGTAGGAGGGTAAGTGGGGAGGGTGGGAGAGTAAATCCCTGAACCTATGGAACTGTATCATGAAAAATATAACAATTTTTTTTAAAAAAGAAGTGCCATGTAACACAGAAAAGAACAACAATTGAAAAAATAGATAGCATGAGGGCCATGGGAGACCACAGAGATTAGGGGAAACAGGTTGCAAAGCATCCTGAAGGTGTCACAAAGCAAGTGAGAGATGAACAAGGGACTGAAGTTGGAGAAGCAGTAGCGTGCCCATGGGTAAAAAAAAAAGCATCTGAGTCTGGGAGACAGGAGTAACAAGGATGTGGGAAGGGCTGGGCAGGAGATGGCGAGGGTGTTGGTAGGACCAAAGAAGTGAAGGGGAGATGCACTGCTGAGAGAGGGCTCACAGGGCAGTCTCTAGAGCTGTATGGAGAAACCAAAGTCAAGAAGCAGCAGTAGAAGCAAGAAGGCCAAGTAGGAGGCCTAGTGGTTGCCATAGAAACACATCACAGTCAATTAATAGTCCCAGCAGTCACCTCTTTGGATTCACCGTTGCATTCATGCCGTTAGTGCATAGCAGTCGTACTAATGTGGACCCATCTCTGAATCCTTGGGTTCCTCTTAACTGCTTCAGTGCTCCAAGTTCCTGGAAAGACATATCCCACAGCTGCACTACAGTCAATCTTCTTCAGTCTTCTTCCTCTCCAATCCTGCCATCTTTCCCCTTCCCTTTCTTGATGTCAGAAGCCCCTCCCTGATGATTTCTGTTCCTTGCTCCTCATCTTACACAGGTACCCCTTCCCCGACCCCAGCCAAAACTCTCTGGCATCTCACATCCTAAAGTATTCGCCTCTCTTAAACTGAACTGACCCAACAGGCCATAACCCAATCAGGAATAGCAGTACTTTCAGATCATGGGATTGTCCTAGAGTTGTTCAGATTGTGTGAATGGGCTATGGAAACAAGAAGAGTCTGTTATAGATGGATCGGACAGTGTTCATGATGTGAGCAGAAGAGAGGAGTCCAGGGTAATGCCAAGGTTTTTGGCTGGGGTGAATGGGGAGGAGGAAATGGCTATGGAGGCAGAGAACGTTGTGAAACAAGCAAGCTTGACAGATTAGGGACGGCTACTTGGGCTTGTGTTTGACATGACAGCAAGAAAACATAAGGTAGGCTTTTGAGGACACGTGGGTCTTCAGAAAGTTACAGGAAAATAGAACTAACAATGCTAGTTTATTTTGGAGCAAAATGTTTTTCATAATATGGAGGAAATGCACATTAACAAGAAAAGCTATGCACATGTTGGTTATTTTTTCACTGATTATAGTTTTATCTTGGCGGGGGGGGGGCGCAAGTCAAAACAAGTAAATACAGGCTACAACTCTGGACAAATTCTGTATGTTACAAGTAGCCGACACACAAACTGAATCAACGCGTGGAAACAATCAAGAAGCCTTTTATGATTTTAACCAACTTCATCTCGGTTCAAAATGATGGTGTCCCTTAAAAAAGGTAGCTGATCCTCAGTGACAGTCAAAGCAAAACAAAACAAAAATCTTAAGCAACAGTTACACTGAGAGAAAATCCTGATTTTTGTAAAATCATTTGTAACTGCTCATAGAATGCATCCCATATTTTCTTCAGCCATATTATTTTTTTAATATACATTCTTTATTTTTCATGATACAGTTCTTTAGGCTCAGAGTTCCCCTTCTACCCTTCTCCACCCTCTTTCTTTCACTGTTTCCCCCTATACTATTACAATAGTTTAGTCCCCAATAACAGTCACAAGTCCATCATTCTGCTATTTACATGTGTCCTGACATTGTAGGAATAGAGAATGGTATAAAGTCCAGCATGCTATGGTCAATATATATTTGACAGATTCATTGGGAGTCCGTATTTTATTCAGAAGCAGAGATGCATACTATAATGTATCTCCACTTCATGATATGCTCGCCAACAGATCTAGATCTAGGCTCCCTTTCATGCTGTCTGTGACCTCCAGCGGGAAGTTTCCTTTGCTGTCATCAAGTTCTGCCTGTGTCAAGGTGGTATCCTCACTTCCTCCTTAGCCTGGATAGGATAGGGCGGGGATAAAGTGGTCCAGGCTCAGTGGGAGTGACTGCATTGATGATACATAGCTTCTGTGACACACAGATCAAATAAGAGCACAAGGTACCAGAATGCTGATCAGCCCCACTGCCAATCCCAGCCTGCAGTTCTCCTTGACTGTCACCTCTGGTTGGGGGTGGGACGTTCTCCTGCTTATGCCTGTCCTTCTCCACAGGTCTGAAGGTCATTGTGGGGGCCTTGCTGCGCTCTTTTAAGAAGCTTTTAAACGTGATGCTCCTCATCATATTTTTTCTCAGCATCTTTGCCCTGGTAGGTCAGCAGCTCTTTATGCGAAGCCTGAGCCTGAAATGTGTCAGTGCTGAGTGCCAGAATCGTGATGCATTTGATGGTAAGAATAATTATGCTGCTTTCTATGCCTTGGTTTGTGAATGGTTGATTTATCCTGATTCCCACTCAGAAACCCTGGCTACTCAAAACATCCCCTAGGAGTCAGCGAAGGCTTCACCATGGTGTTTACGCGAGCAGATGTATTTCTCAGAGAATTGTTTCATTACTTTACTTGGGGTTTCATGGAGAGGCAAAAGCCCAAAGCCATGTCCATAAAAACAATGCCCGTTCCCGTGTTTTCCCATTTCGAATCTGGCCTGTTTCTTTGTCATATTTTACACAAGTGCATAGAGTGCCTCGATTTGGCCATGGGGAAGCAACATCTTCCAAGCTCCACTCTTTGAGTATTTTCTTTCTACACCCACAGTCTCCACAATGAGCTCAAGCTTACGCCTTTTCCTTGCACTGTCTGTCATGTACTGAGGTTGTTGCAGCCTGTCCGGGTAGCAGCACTGCGCGCGTGACACACCGGGAGGCAAAGTGTGCAGAGCGATGCCACTGCTACCCGCTCCCAGATTCCTTTCCTTCTTTTCCTCTCATCACTTCCTGAAGGATTACACCTCCATTTCTCCTTGGACAGCAACTTTATAATCATGTTAAAAGATTCAAATCATCTGTTTTCAAGTATACTCTGATGTATTTGCTAGTCTTTCTCCTTTCAGTGTTTTTAAAATTTGAATTTGTGGCTTTTTTTCCCCCTCTATTAGAGGATTGCTTTGAAAGACAAGAAAATTCTACAGAATTCAGAATGTGTGGCTTCTGGATGCAGGAAGGGTAAGAGGTTTTGTTTTCTTCCAAGAATGATTACTCTAGATGGGATGTCCCTCAGTTTTGTTGAACTGATGGCTTATTAAAAACCTGCTACAGACTTGGGTTCTTTCAACTTTATAGAGTTGGATGCTCAAGACTTTCAAAGGCAGCACAGGGTGTAATCACTCAGTCCCATGAAGCCATTGTTCCCTATTCAAGGGCATCGCATCATTGCAAGCGCATGTGATCTGCTTCCTTTTGCCACTCAGTTGAGTACCAACTAGATCACAAATAGCGTTGTCGCTCTGAAGCAGAGCCTACCACTGCTGAATTCCACTCTGCCTATCCACAACTCTAAGTCTGCGGATCAGCATCTCTGATTAGAGCAACTGAGCTGCCCAGGATCATCTGACATTGAGAGACAACCTTTGCTATGAAGAAAGCTGAAGCAAAGGAACAGAGAAAGTGGTCATGGGCAAAGTAAAAGTTCAGAGATGCCAAAAGGGTTTTAAAAACCTTGAATAGGGTCCTTGGTGAAATCAAAAGCAATGGTTACTTATGGAAAAAAAAAAAAAGAAGTCATAAAACAGGTGATTTAGAAATTAGGCGTGAATGCCAAAATAAGCAACACTAAAATAAAGTTGAGGAAATAGCCAAGAAATTAGAAATAAAGAACATAAACAGAAATTATGAGAACAAATGTAGGCCTAAAAGTTCCAACTTGTGACTAAGTAGAAATTCCATAAAGAAAGCACAGAAAACACAAAAGAAAGGAAATTGGTGAAGAAATTCTCAAAGAACTTCCCTGGGATTAAGAACACAGGCCCATGTGTGCGCTGACTCCAGCAATTGTTCCATGCTGATCCAACTCCCTATAAACGACCTGAGAAGAACAATGGAAGATACTTCAAGTGTTTAGGCCCCTGTCACCCGAGTGGAAAACCCAGGAGAATTGCCAGGCTTCTGGGATTCAGCCTGGTCCAATCCAGGCAACTGTGGCCATATGGGAAGTAAACTAGAGGATCTCTCTCTCTCTTTCTGTTAACTCTTTCAAACAAATAAATCTTTTTATAAAATGCAAATCATGGGTTGTCAGGGCAGGAATTGTTATGTAGTGGGCTCAGTCTGCTTACAAAACCTGCATTCCATATCAAAGCAGTTTGTTCTACTTCCAGCTGCTGTGCTCCCGGATCCAAGTTCTTACTAGTGCCCCTTGGGGGCAGCAGATGTTGCCTCCAATGCTTAGATCCCTGCCACCCTCACAGGAGACCAGGTATCATCCCTGGCATCAACAGAGCCTAGCCACAACCGGTGTGGGCATTTGAGAAGTAAATAGGCAAACAGGAATCTCTTTCTCTACGTCACTTTGCCTCTCAAATAAACAAACAAACAAATAAATCTCAAGGAATAAAAAGAGAGTGTGAGTCTCGCAGCGCCCAATACAGCAAACAGAAAAGAACCATGGCAACAGTATGATTGTGATATTGGAGGGCAAAAACCTTAAAATCAAAAGGGAAAATGTCACCTACGAAGGAACAAAACTTAAAATGGCTTTAGAATTCTCAAGAGTGAGACAGGATTTAGTCATGCCTTCATATTTCTAATAGAAAATTATTTTCACCCCAGAATTCTACTTCTGACCACATTTATCCATTGATTGTGATGATAAAGAAATCAGACGACAATGTGAGCACTATGCCTGGGGCTATGAAAGTAATAGAACTGCATTTTGTTTTTTTTTAATAGCTGAGTAGTATTCCATGGAGTAGATGCAGTTCTTTGTGGCTAAATGGGCCCAACTGGAAACTATAATGCTAAGGGAAATGAGCGAATCCCAAAAGATTAGATATCACATGTTTGCCTTGATTTAACCTGTAATTTTTTTTTGTTTTGTTTTGTTTGGTTGTTTGTTATTTTTTGAACCTGTCATTGATACTGTCTCAACCCAGATGTTTCGAAGAATGGAACTTGCATTATTTTTAACATATTGTTTACCCAGTACTATGTCAATCAATTAATTCCATGATGTTGTATATTGATACTGAGGTCTTGTTGGGGCTTTTAACTGACCGGATCTTTACTCTGTTAGCCCTACCTTCAGACCAGAGAAGGTCTCCCCAAGAGGCCACTGAACTTATCTGAACAATAAGACGCTGAACTTTATGCTAGGCATGTGTTTGCAAGGAATGAATCTCAACTGAACTTGAACTATGGTTATGCAACAAGGTGGAGGAATCCACCATGGGGGGAGGGGTATGGGAGGGGTGGGGGGAATCCCCAGCACCTATAAAACTGCACCACATAATACAATGTAAACAACAATAAAATTAATTAAAAAAATAATAATAAAAAAAAGAAAGTAATAGAACTACCCTGGTTGTATTTGGAGTGTGTAAATCACGATTATAGGATATTACAATGGGTTTGATTAAAAGCTTTTACATGCTTGTGATTTGTAAGCTGTATGTGTGTAAATTATTTTTTTTATTAAAAATTAAGTAAGTGTCCAATGGATACACTCACTGATTAAGTGGACAATGACCCATGTGCACAGTTATCTATTGTCCAAATGCTTATAGAAACAAAAGACTGCTACCTCTGGAAACTCAAACATTCACAGTTTAGCAGAGCAGTTAAATAAGCTGTAGGTCTCTAAAACATGAGAAGAAACATATTCCTGAATGCTTGTGTGTGAAATGCCTCTTGGCTCTATTGTTCCAGGACACAAGCAAGATGCAAGGGTGTGTTGGAGTCATACTCCCATTTATGTGTGATAAAAGTTGTGTGTGGACATCTGTGTGCCCCTGAATGCATTGAAACATCTGGAGAATTGGTGAAAATGCTGTTAACTTTTTCATCAAGAAAGTGGCACAAAGGGCAACCTGAGGAGAGAAAGGCGTGGCATTCACCATGTGCCTTGTTTTCTGTTCCATGCCCACCATTTCACCACACTTCATTGTTAAATGTAAATGTGCCCATCAATCATTGGAGGAAGAGTCCATAGTTGGTACATTAAGATCAAGACTACCGTTTTTCTGCAGAGGACCTTCTGGTGTGAGCCAGGAGATGGGGTCATGGGGTTGCTGTGTGCAGAAAGCTTGGCTGCAAAGAATGCAACCTTTTTCTGTTTTCTTCCTTCTAACATCTAGTGCCTGTTCCAAACAATATACATGCAACTTCACCAAATTTAATCCTGACTATAATTACACAAATTTTGACAACTTCGGCTGGTCTTTTCTTGCCATGTTCCGGCTTATGACTCAGGATTCCTGGGAGAGGCTCTATCAGCAGGTGAGCTATTTAGAGTCACTTTCTTCTTCCTCCCACTCGCTCCCTCCTCCACCTATCACTTATCCATTTATTATGGAGCTAAAACCTACCATCTATATGTAGTTAAAACCTCACTTTAGTCATAGATTGCTCATCTTTAACAGATGTGCTATCAAATTTTGCTTTAGAAACTTTGCTATACGTGTCACGAAAATTATAAATATAATATTTTGAAGAAAGATGGGAAAAAACCCACCGTGCATTCCTTTTCCTACAAGCACTACCTCCTCTCCAGTCTTGCTACTGCCTAGCATTTTGTCATCAGCACTCTCTTGCCTTTGTTTACTGTAAATTGAAAGTTCTTTGAGAAAGCTGTCGATGATGAAGTCATCAAGCCTCCCATGTAAAGGTCCTCAGTGAGATATGGAGCACCAGGGCCTCTGGGTGCCCAGAGGAAGCTGTAGAAGATGCTACAATGGCTGAACTCAGCAGGGACACAGGGGGAAGCTGCATGCACCATGGGGCCTGTGCTTGAGGTGACAGGCACGGTTCTGTGATGGAGTTGCAATGCCATTGTGTGCTCTGTCCTTGCAGGTTTTGCGCACCACTGGACCCTATTCAGTCTTCTTCTTTGTGATAACCATCTTCCTGGGCTCCTTCTACCTGATTAATCTAACCCTGGCCGTTGTCACCATGGCCTATGAGGAACAGAACAGGAACGTGGCTGCAGAGACTGAGGCCAAGGAGAAGATGTTTCAGGAAGCCCAGAAGCTGCTAAGGGAGGAAAAAGAGGTAGATGGTGAGATGTGCTGGGCTGGGGGCACCCTGGAAGACCCCGCAGGTGGCATGCCTGAGGACTGAGTCTACATCTCAGGATCTGACCTCAGTACATTCTTTCCTGATGTTCTTCCTGCAAATTGACTATACCAGTCTCTTGCCCAGAGTTTCCCAGACAGAAGGATCTTGAGAGAATAGTCTTGATACTCTTTGACCTTCTAAAGCCTGGTCTTTGAGGATAACGCTCAAATTATTGGTTGGAGAAATTACTCCATTGTGAGTCCAGGCTCTGCTCAGTGTCCATGTATAAATCTGATTGTATCCAGGGCCTAAGGCTGGGAGGGAGGGCTGGCTGTAGAGCCACAAGAATGACAATCTCTCTGCTCCAGAAATACCTGTGGTTTTTCGAGCCCATGCTGAGGGTCTCTTTGGTATATTCAAATTTTCCAAATGAAGCTTAGAATTTTCAGGGCGAGACAAGGTTTTATACCCCTTCCCATCCTCTGAAGAGATTGGTCAGTGGGAAGCTCATCATAAATCCGTAGTAATAAACCCACATCATAAGGCATATGCATTTATTGAGTGCCTAGTACATACTAACAGTCTGTGAGTGAAGGTTTGTGGTACAGAGATGGAGCGGCCAACCCCACCTCTGATGGCTTCATCTCATGTTCTCGCCCTCCCCAGACAACTACTGGTGAAGCTTTGTATTTCTAGTAGGTGATCAGTGTAAATGGAGAAGAGGAGAGAAAGCACGCATGAAGGCCAGGGTCAGTAGAAGCATACAGTGTTTCATGGACAAATATAATTTTTCATTAATTACTTTGTTCACGAAGGCTTTGGTTGCCATGGGAATGGACAGAAGCTCACTTAATTCCCTTGAGGTCTCATCTTTCTCCCCAAAGAAGAGAAAGATCTTTGGTACTAGGAAAAAGAAGTCCTTCGCAAGAGAATCGAAAAAGTCAAGCAAGCATCAGGCTCCAGGATCAGAGTCTGACGAAGACCCTACTCCAAAGGTAAAGTTTGTCCCAGGGTCCAGTGATACTACAGCGCACTCATTCATCCATTATCCACCCACTGATTTTCACATAATTTCATGTATCCTTGTGGTTTTTTCAGCTGTGCACTATTTGTTAACCAAGGTTTGCAAGTGTCATTAGCTGTCTATTATATACTAGGGCTACATGGTTCCTACTCTACAGAATCACAGTTAAATATTGAAGTCACCATCATACAGAACAAGTCACTTTCTAGTGACAGAATGTTGTCAATTCTCGGTGAACTCATGAATTCCACATCCGTGTTGAATGCTTTCTTAGTTCATACAGTGTCAATGAAAGGCCGCTACCACCTTTAGCAGGCCTGCCATGCCTTCTCTTACAGCCACATCTCTTAGAGCAAACCAAGCGCCTGTCTCAGAATCTGTCGAAGGACTATTTTGATGAACATGGAGACCCACTCCAAAGGCAGAGAGCCCTGAGTGCTGTCAGCATCATCACTATCACCATGCAGGGTAAGTTCTACCCCCCTGGCCACTGGCACGCCCAGTCCTCCTTTCCTCCATCCCCAAGAAGCATTCTACCAAGGAGACTATTTTGGAACCACCCTTAAATAGTGATGACCACTGTCCCTCTGGAATCTGCAAACAAAACACTTTGAATAAAGTGGACCCCTCTGAATGGGCACTTAGATGGTGGTGGGAATTATGATGGAACTCCAGATCCGTGGCTCAGAGAGGGCCTCGCAAGCAGGCCAGGCCATAAGAAAGGTGATCTGAGTGACAATGAACATCAGCTAAGGAAGTCTGCATGAAATGGCACTTGTTGCTGAAGCTGGAGTCAGGAATCCAGCATGGGCAATGAAAGATCCGTGTAGACAGGTTAGGGTGACCTGATGCACCTGGCTAATGGCAGGTAGGGCCCTGTAGGAAGGCTGCTGCTCAGGAGAAGGATCAGATGGGTTTCTGGTTACCTTTGTGCCCATTTTATCACCTCATTTGGTCAGCATGAGGCATGAGCCCTACAAGGTTGCCAGGAAAATCAAATGGCCTTTATGGCCTGAACTCAACTAGCTGATGGAGTGCTTTGTCTTGTTTCTGTACTTAATGGATGCCTCTATGTGGTTCTCTCTACTTCCCCTAAACTAGCAGTGGGGAATATCCAACCTACAAGGCACTGTAAAGCCCGCAAAATTGTTGAGTTTGGCCCTGCCAAGGCAACCACATCTGGGACTCAAAATTCAGATAAGCTGTAACATCCTAATCTTTAGTTGATAATTTTATATGGTCTGTGAATGGTACTATAACTACCTAAGTGGCCCTTGGCAGCAAAAAGATTCCCCCACATGTGTGTACTGCCTGTGCCTGTTACAGGCATCACCAAGACTTGCCTTCAGAGGCTTTAGTGTAGGCGTGTATCTGTTTCTCACAGGTTCACAGACGGGTATCTCTGACTACATGGCCCAGCTTCTGAGTCCAGACTCAAAAAGTCAAAATTTGATAGACATTCCTGTTGAACATTCTGGTTACATGCCGGAAGTGATCTCTTCTCTAGTGTGATTGATATATGAATCTTTCTGGCTACACAAGTCAGTGCCCAATTTAGTCAATTTGACCAACTTGACCTTGGGAAATTGTGGGCAGGAAAACAGCAGGTAGACTGGTCTAGAGCTAACTCAGCTCCTCAATTGTTCTTTCACTGTTTTTCAGAACAGGAAAAATCCCAGGAGCCTTGCCTCCCGTGTGGAGAAAACCTCGCATCCAAATACCTGGTGTGGAATTGTTGTCCCCAGTGGCAACGCATCAAGACCGTCCTGAAGGCCGTGATGACCGACCCCTTCACTGAGCTGACCATCACCATCTGTATCATCATCAACACCATCTTCTTGGCCCTTGAACATCATGAGATGGACACGAATTTTAAAACCATTTTGAATATAGGGAATTTGGTAATTTCTAACTTTAAAACTTTTGCATTGTAAGCCTTTCGAGGTCTAAATACGGTCAGTGGTCTACAATAACCTAAGTGTTTGGTCCCCTTGCATGGAATAGAGGCATGAAATGACTGCCATGACTTTATTTTCCCACAGTGCCTTCCAGTTATTTCCAAGGCCCTGTCATTGTGTTGTGGTATACTGAGGTTTTCACTTTAGCTTTCCAGGGGCAGCCTAGAAGCAAATAGACATCTGAGAATGTCAACTCTGGTATTTTCAAGGAAATGTTTGCCAAATGGAGAGGCTTGTGTTAGTGACTGCCATGATCCCACTGCTGTCCCCAACCCTATCTGTAACAATGACACTGTTTGTCATAAAGAGATGCAGCTCCCATTGCTAGTATCATTCTTCTTGAAAAGATGAGGCAGGTTCTGGTAGCCATGAAATGCTTGCCTTCACGGGAGAAGGTGTGAAAAGCAGTCAGGCAGTGTGAGAGAAAGAGTGATTGGATTTGAGTTTGCTTCAATGTTTTATTTATTTTTTTCTTTCAACAGCTCTAAGTTTCAGTTAAACTGAGAAAACTACTGTAGAAGACTTTTCAAGTTTTTTGATTCCTGTGAAAGATATTCTTCTCAATGGAAAATTAGTTCCTAAACTATAAGAAACAACAAATAATTGCAATTACATATTCTACTCTCATTAGATTAAAGAATAAGGAATATGAATGATTGGTTCAGATTTTTCATCTTAATAATTTATTTTATTTTCCTGTCTTGAAAAACAATACATACTCTTTAACTTCCAAAAAATAAGAAAAATGTAAGTTTAAAAAGAAGAGACTCAATTAATTTCCCAGCAAAGCTGACACTTTTTTTTTAACACCATAGGGTTTTTTTCTGGCATTAAGTATATATGAGTGGATTTTTAAAAAGATTTATTTAATTTTTTTTAAAGATTTATTTTTATTATTTTTTTATTGGAAAGGTGGATATACAGAGAGGAGAGACAGAGAGGAAGATCTTCCGTCCAATGATTCACTCCCCAAGTGAGCGCAACGGGCCGATACTATGCCGATCCGAAGCCAGGAGCCTCGTCCGGGTCTCCCACGTGGGTGCAGGGTCCCAAAGCTTTGGGCTGTCCTCAACTGCTTTCCCAGGCCACAGGCAGGGAGCTGGAAGGGAAGCGGGGCTGCCAGGATTAGAACCGGCGCCCATATGGGATCCCGGGCGTGCAAGGCGAGGACCTTAACCACTTGCGCCACCGCGCCGGGCCCGATTTATTTAATTTTTATTACAAAGTCAGATATATAGAAAAGAGGAGAGATAGAGAGGAAGATCTTCCATCTGATGATTCACTCCCCAAGTGAGCACAACGGCCGGTGCTGTGCCGATCCGAAGCCAGGAGCCGGGAACTTCCTCCAGGTCTCCCACACGGATGCAAGATCCCAAAGCTTTGGGTCATCCTCAACTGCTTTCCCAGGCCACAAGCAGGGAGCTGGATGGGAAGTAGAGCTGCCTGGATTAGAACTGGCACCCATATGGGCAAGGACTTTAGCCTAGGACCCATGCCGCTGGGTCCAATAGATTTAATTTTAATTTGTCTGCTTCTTACTCAATATTCTGCATAACTGTAAGCCTGTATTTTTCTAATAACCAAAGAAAAAAACAATTTAATTTTGTCTGTGAAAAACACCCAAGTTGGAGATTGTTGTGGCTCTTATCCCTTCCTTTGGTTCTATAGTGCTGAGTCCTTAACTGATTGTTCTGATTCACTAAATCCTTCTTTCCACCATAACCAACCTTCCACCAAATGGGAAATGACGCCATTCATTCTCCTGGTGCTGATGGGCAGGTACCATGGGGGTGGAAAGGAAGAACCAAAGCACCATGAGAGTCACCTCCTGCAATAAATATCCCTATTGCCCAGTCTTTTGAGTATATCACATGAGCCCTACTGATGCTTTATTCCTCTTTAACCTTTGTCATTTCCTCACACCATGCTTACAGCCATGTCTCCAAGAGAGCAACAACTTCGTTTTCTCACTCTTCTTTGTTTTACTAGGTTTTCACCGTCGTTTTTATAGTGGAAATGTGCCTAAAAATCATTGCACTTGATCCCTACTACTACTTCCGCCAATGCTGGAATATCTTCGACTGCGTGGTTGCTCTTCTGAGCCTTGTAGATGTGCTGTATGTACAGCAAAGCTTGCCATTCATGCGTTCCTTCAGAGTGGTAAGGCATTTCCTTTATTCTATAACCCAGCCAACCAGCTGAAAAGCCTTGAGTGAGCTCAATTGTAACGTTGCACTTAGCTTCAAGTTATTCTGCTTTAATCCCAAAAGCAGAACTCTGCTCCCGCTCCAGTCCAGGTCTTTAATAGACTAGAAGATCCTTTTACAAATGACCCCTTTCCCATCCGTGATCTGACAGAAACTTTCAGAAACCAAACTCAAAACTGCATTTGCAGGGTCAGGACTCTGTCCAAGGTTTTGTGCACAATACCTCCAACTTTCTTTTTCCCCCTTGAGCCCTGAAATGAACACCCACACATCTGGGCTCACTGAAGACCACAAAGCCCAGGAGTGATGCTGGCAGGTGCAGGCCTTACCACAAGGTCCTTTCTCATCACTGCCAGCATCACATGCCTGTCCTGTAGTGTCTGCCTTCCACTCACCTCTATGGAGGTATTCTAAAAAACTGTGTCTAATACAAGTTGATACAGGATAATCCCAAAAGTAAGAAAGTGACAGTCCTCAAGGAGTTTTCAGTCCAAGGGTGGCATCAGATTGGATCAGATATGATTGTAACACAGAGCAAAATGTGATGGCGCTCAGGGTGGGTACAGAGAGGAAACTACAGAGAAATTACATCTAAGAGGTAAACTGGCAAACCTAAGGCAGTCATCTTAGTTTGCTTCCTGCTGCTATGGCAGAATACTGTCTATAGACCGGAGCAATGGCAAGCAACAGAAGCTCCAGTTCTAGACTTCCTGGGAAGTCCAGAAATTAAGGGCTTTTTCTGGTAGCAACCCTGTGCTGCATCATGATGTGGTGAGAAGGAATGCACAAGAGAAAAAAATGGGGGTGGAGAGGAACCCACTCCCTTGACAACTAACTCATGAAACAAGCACCTTTGAAGGTCCCAGCTCTCAACACTGTGTCAGTGGTAACTGGATTCCAACATGGGGTATGGAGGGTATATTTACACCACTGCCTTCAGTCCTCAGTCCCTTAAGATTTATGTTGCTGTCACAAAAATGCACTTAAAATCCTTCTTTTTCTCTTCTTTTCAAATTACTTTTAATTAACACATAGCAATTGACCCTATGAACTGTCTATATTGACTTTGTCTAAATACCAGTGGTCCTCCATGTTGGTAATCTCAAAGTCCTAATTCATTCCAGCATCAACTCATACACCCTGGGTCCAGAGTCTCTTCTCGATCTGGTATAGGTGATAATCAAGCCAGGGTTCGTCATGAGGTAAGTTTGCTCCAGCTGTGAGCCTGCAGAGCCAAGCTAACTGTTCATTTCAACAATACAGTTGTGGGGCAGGTGGGCTGAGGATCACCATTCCAGTTTCAAAAGGGAAAAATAGGCACAAAGAGGGTAACTTCAGCCCAATTAGTCCAAGACCATTTAATAGCATAACCATTAAATCTTAAAGCTCAAGAATAGTGTCTTTTTTAAAAAACTTATAAATTTATTTTATTATTCCATGATACAGTTGTTAAACAGCCTCTGAAATTTCCCTTACCCCCTCCTCAAATCTCCGTCTGCTATTCTCCCCAGGTCATTATAGTAGTACAGTCCTTCACAGTTCATCATAAGTCCATTGTTCTGCTATTTAAGTGTATCCTGACATTGTAAGCATGGGCAATGGCAGATAGTCAAGCGTCCTATTGTCAAGATATATCCAATAGTTTCATTGGGAATCCATCTTTGATTTGGAAGTAGAGATGCATATTGCATAATGTCCTCATATCTGGATATGAGAGTCTTCATTACACAGTGACTGTACATCCCCTTAAATGAGAAGCCATAAAACAAAATCAACAACAGAGAGAAAAATAGAAAATTTACAACAACGTGATGTTAAATGACATGCTACTGAATGTTTAACATCACAAGCACTCTAGCGTGTCATCATCTTGGAAGCCCTTTCCTGGGGTGCCACTCTCATGTTTTTGCTGGGATTAGCCCCTTCAATGTTTTTAAAGTCCTTTTGTACCTCATGAAATACCCATCTCCTGATTACTTTTTGACATTTACAAATATGAAAAGTATCCTAGCTACACAATCTGTATATACCAGACGATGGATGAGATCTGGTCCTTGGGGCAGAGTTTCTGACTTGCAGTTTGTAATGTGTAATTGCAAAAGCATTTGTTTCACTTAATAGACTTGTGTACTCAATTATCATCCTGATCTTAAAGTCTACCCTTTTTTTTTTTAGAAAAAATAACAAAATATTTCTATTTTAAAATAATAATGCTCCCTTGGAATTCTGTACCAGAATCCTGACACCATAGACTCGTTTTGCCTGTATCTGAACTTCAAATAAATGGAATAATATATTTTGTAGTCTTCTGTGTCTGGCTGGCTTCTTTGATTCAACACTTTTTCTATAAAATTCGCCTGTATTGTTATATATTGTGATTGCTTTATACTCATTCTGTTAATAAACATATGAACTATTTCTCATTTTGACAATTATAAATAGAACATAAAAAATAAGTATGGACCAGCGTTGTAACACAGTGGTTTAGTCTGCTGTCTGTATGGCACAGACATATTCTAGCTGTTCCACTTCTGATCAAGCTCCCTGTTAATGTGCCTGAAAAAGCAACAGAGGAAGGTCCAAATGCTTGGGCCCTGTCACATGTGTGGGAGACCTGAATGAGGTGCCAGATTTCTGGGTTTAGCCTGGCCTATCCCTATTTGTTGCTAAATCATTTAGGGAATGAACCAGCAAATGGAATCTCACTTTGAAACTCCACTTTTCAAATAGATAAATATACATATATATACTTACATATTTACATATATATTCTGTATCTTTTAAATCAAATCACATATAAAAAGAGGCACAGATGAGTACTACAGTGGGACAGGAAGTTGGTGAACTATGTTCAGGATAGGTTCAACCTTCAGAAGAATTTGAAAATCATAAAGTACTGGTTGAAGGGTAGTAATCAACTGGCTTCTTTTGTTTTTCTTGTTGTCTCTTGTTTGCAGATCCGCGTGTTTAAGTTAGCCAAGTCCTGGCCAACATTAAATACCCTGATTAAGATAATTGGGCACTCCATAGGAGCCCTTGGAAATTTGACGGTGGTCCTGGTCATCGTGGTCTTCATTTTCTCTGTGGTTGGCATGCAGCTTTTTGGCTCTAAGTTCAGTTCTGAAAAGAATAAAAAATTATGTAACACCGAAGAAGAGCTGTGTCGACGGCGCTGGCACATGGGCGATTTCTACCATTCCTTCCTGGTGGTGTTCCGCATCCTGTGTGGGGAGTGGATTGAGAACATGTGGGAGTGCATGCAGGCAATGGACTCAGATGCACCGCTGTGTGTTTTCATCTTTGTGCTTATCATGGTGATAGGAAATCTTGTGGTGAGTCTAGCTTTCTTTTTTCAAATCATTAGAGAAAAGTTATTGCCAATGAATCTCCATTGAATTTTGATAAACATGAGGCAAAGTCCCTTGGTAAATTGTGCTTTTGCTGACTAATGTTCCAACAGTTAGTTTGTTCTAGGTAAGTATTATAAGATAATTGGATTCTCTTTATCAGTGATTTACTGAGGTAAGTATATGTGACTTAATTTGGTCAAAACAATACAAAGAAATATAGAGTGGGAAGATAAGAACCTGTTCTTAATCACAGTCCTTTTTACTCCCTGTGGATCTTTTTAGAACTATGATCTCAGGATGAGCTGACAATATTATGCAATAATGAGATGAAACCGGTTCTAAGGAAAATGGAGTGAAAAGGTGGAACAAAGCTCTTTTTCGTGTCATAATTGGTCCCTGTTTCATTTTCAACCTCCTTGTTATGGTATTTGCTGATGGTGTAAGCTGGACTGGCCCTGTTCCCAGCACCTGCTATTCTAGATTATCTAGGGAGAAGCCAATTGGGTGCACATCTGAAGAGGCAGAAGACAACATGAGGATCTTTGAGCACAGAATCTTCAGAATCAAGGATGGGTTTATGGGTGCAATTCTAAGGAACTATCTACATATGGTAGCTTGCTCCCACAAACCTAGTAATGACATACACCATGAATGATCCAGAAGTTTATAAGAGTAAAATAAGAATACTGCCAATTGAGTATGGAAAATGAGCAGTGAGGAAGAATCTGGTGAAGATACTGTAATTGAGGAAAACACCCAACAGGCAAGAGTGACTTGGCCAAATGGAAGAGATACTGAATGAGACATAGGAATTGGAATGGCCATGGGGAAACGGAAAAGCAGGTCGGATCCATTTACACCAACAAACCGCTTCTCCCCAAAGCTGTTTTCTTTTTTTTTTTTTTTTAAACTGGTGAAAGTTAACAACAAAAGAATTCCAGGAGATAAAGATGATATATAAATATAAGCAAAGAAAAATCAAACGACACAACACACACACACACAAACCAAGTAATAAGCAAGCTATATGGATGATCTGAATTTAAAGTGAAATATCAACATAAATCCTAATTTTTGAGATATTAGATGTCAATAAATGAATCTTTCTGTCTTTTAGAATTCGTGACTTACACTTGTTTTTCTTCACATAAAGTGAACAAGCTCCACATATTTCACAATACAGGTTTAGGAGTGCTGTGATACACTGATTTGTGAACCAAAGAGACTATGCTGAGCGGTTTGGATTCTGAAAACACTTGTAAATCAAAGATAGCAGTGGATAACCATGATTTGTGATTTAGCTACATGAAGCAAGATCAGATGGCTACAAAATAATTGGAGCGAATCTGTTACATAAATATTAAAATTAATTTAAAAAATACAGTGAAAAGTGCTTTTGTGGAAGAGTTGCAGAGTTGGTCTAAATTCCGCTGAGCCTCAATGCCTCGCTGAAGTGAAAGCAGTAAAGAGACTGCCCTGAATAGACCAGCTCTCATCATGTGCAAACAGGACAGCATTGCACCATTGTCACACCCATGCAGGCGGTTGCAGAACATATTCAAGGTCTTGATGCAACCAAGGAATACACACTACTGATGTTGTCATGCAGGCATCCCATTCTACACAACGCTTGCCAAGTGTATACATACATGTTGCTTATATTTATATAAACTGCTTGGATGTTTGCTACTTCACTTTATATTTTGTCTTATCTAGTGGCCATAGTTCCTTCCTCAATCCTTTAATTTTCATTTTATAGTTAGAGCATTCTCATGGGACTGAATGGTATACAATTCTCATTGGACTCTGTTTCGAAATTTGTGGGAAAAAATTTGTCCTGAAAGCCCAATGTATCTGTTGCTAAACAATTAACTTCCTTGTTACCCACCCCTCCCCTAGGTCCTCAACCTCTTCATCGCCTTATTGCTCAACTCCTTCAGCAGTGAGGAGAGACATGGAAGCCTCGATGGAGAGACCAGGAAAACCAAAGTCCAGTTAGCCCTGGATCGGTTCAGCAAGATTTTTGCGTATGTCATTTACGCTGTTCAGAATTTCTGTGACAAGCGATGCAGGAGGCAAAATTTACCAAAGCTAAAGGAAGGGGAAGGAGGCCCTGCCACAGAGAGCAAAGACATCATTCCCCTGGTCTCAGGGAAGAAAGTGGGCCCAGAGACCCAGGAGACACGTGGTGCACCCTTCTCTGGACCAAGGACCCTGAGCATTGGGCACGATGGGACTTGGTTGGCCCCACTCGCAGAAGAAGAAGATGCTGCGTCTCTTGGTGAAGATAATCCACAGGCTATTCCACAGCAGGTCTGAAGGTTTCTTGACTTAGGGGCTATACAAAGCTAGAGTTACCATAGGGCAGGGGTTGCCTTCTTGGCCCAGGACAGTAGGGATGACAAGAAGAATACACAACATGGTCACTGCCCTTAAGTAGCTCTTTGATTTCTCTTGGCTGCATTTCCATGATAGCTGCTGACCGTGAGCATTGTTTCATGTTTTTAACCATCTGAATTTCTTTCTTTCAAAAGCACCTGTTCATGTCCTGTGCCCATCTCTTAACTGAATTGTTTTTTCCATTGTTGAGTTTCTTGAGCTCTTTAAAGATCCTGGATATTAATCATGTCTAAATTGCATAGTTTAAGAATATCTTCTCCCATGCTGTTGGCTGCTTCTTCACTTCGTTGATGGTTTCCTTTGCTTTGGGCTTGATGTAATCCTATTTGTCTACATTTGCTTTTATTGTCTGTGCTTATGGAATCTAAGACAATGGGCCTTTGCCCTTGATAATATTGTGCATAGTTTCCCCAATATTTTCCTCTGATAATTTCATGGTATCAGGAACTAACTAGACTTAGAGTCTTGATTCATTTTAACTTTTTCTTTTCTCTAAGGTCTTGTTTAATAATTCCTTCTTCTTTTTAAAAATCTTTATTTTTTATGATACAATTCCATATGATCAGGGCTCTCCTTTCCTCTCCCCCTAGCTCTACTCACCTGCCACCGATTTCCTCTATATTATTAAAATAGTAAATTATTTCAACAACAGTCACAAGTACCTCTTTTTTCTATTAAGTGAATCATGACGTTTAGGTATAGACAGTGGTATAAAGTCAGATATTCCACTTTCAAGATATATTTAACAGTTCTGTTAGGAGTCCATCTTATATTCAAGAGTAGAGATTCATACAGCTATGTATCTTCATTCATGGTATACTTGCCTCCACTAAACAGTTCCTCTGCATGATATACGTACATAGATATTTACCTGTGTATTTATTGGTCATGTATTTTGCATGAATGATGTCTTATATCAGAGAGAAGATATATTATTTGTCATTTTGGACAAATGCTGAGAATAATGGCTTCTACTTGGGAGCATTTTATTGCAAATGGTACAATTTCATTCTTTTTCATGGTTGGGTAAGACTCCATGGAGTAGATGTACCACAGTTTCTTCATCCACTCCTTTTTTTTTTACAGGCATCTGCTTTAACCTCCTGACCATTAGGCCTGGGTGTAATAGGAACCTATTTTGGATGGAACCTGTAGGATGCCAAGTCAATACTGTTTTCCCTGTGGGAGTAGAGCAATGCATTTGCCAGAAATGAGTTCGCTGCTGGCTTAGAACATGTGCAGCCTGCTATTGTCCCTCCAGCCCCACAGTATTGTTTCTCAATATACAACATGGGGCCTGATGTGGCTCTGGTGAGGGTCTGGGCCATGACATCTACCCTGTTCCTGCACCTGATTCCTTGGGCTCTGCCATTCTGCTTCTTTTTATGGCCCATCTAAACCAGTCAACAGGACCCACAGTTCTGTGTCTGGGTTCATCTCTGGAATTCCCAGTGAACTCTCCTTCCCACCTGGCCACTGGTGTAGCTCCAAATCACCACCAGGGTATCTGATCATTGAAGCATCACTCTGCTGTCTGCTGCTTGCCCATGTCCATGGGTCTCCAGGTATCCCTCTGCTGTCAGCCTGTCCTTCCTGTCTCCTGGGATCACACCCTCTCTGCTTCACCTTGGCTAAAGCTTCTCCATGTGTTTTAATCTGTCCTTACCTTATGGCAGCATCTTTGCTCCCCCTTGTTTCAGACCTCTGTACATGTAGATCTGATTATCTCAGGACCATTTGTTGAAGGGGCTTTTTGTTTTCAGGCAGTGATTTTAGCTTATTCGTTGACGTTTAATTGGTTGCAGAAGCATGAATTAAGCCCTGGAATTTCTATTCTGTTCCACCAGTCTATATGTCTATTTTTTCTGCCAGCACCAGACTGTTTTGATTATAACAGCCCTGCAGTATGTCATGAAATCTGTTATGATAGCTCTCACAGTTTTTCTTCATCTTTAGCTATTTGAGGTCTTTTGTGACTCAAAATGTATTTTAAAAGCATTTTTCTGTCTCTGAAAATAATGTCATACATATTTTGATTGGGGCCATATTGATTCTGTAAAATTGTTCGGGTAGTATGGACATTTAGATGATGTTAATTCTTCCAATCTGTGAATAAGGAGGATTATTTATTTTGTGTCTTTTATTTCTTTTCTTGATAGCTCATAATTTTCAATGTAGAGATCGTTCACATCTTGGGTTACATTTACTCCCAACATTTAAAAAAATTTGTTGCAGCTACTAATGATACTGATCTTTCAAGGCCTCTATCATCTACGGATTACAAATAAAACAAATACTGTTGTTTTTTGTGTGCTGATTTCATAACATACACGTTTGTCAAGCTGTCTTATGAGTTTTAATAATCATTTAGTAGAGACTTTTGCTTCCCGTCTGTTTAAGACCATGTTATCTTTCAGACATGGATAATTTGACGTGTTCCTTTCCAGTTTGTATCCTTTAGTGTTGTGTTCTTGTTTAATAGCTCTGGCTAAACCTTCCTGAGCTACAACGAATAATAATGGCGAAGGTGACTGGCTCTAAGCTTAGAAAGAACGCGTCCAGGTTTTCCCATCCAATACGACACTGACTTTGTGTTTATCATATATTGCCTTGATTATGTTGAGGAATGTTCTGTCTATGCTCAGTTTGTTTAAGGTTTTTCAAACATAAAACAATGTTTTCATTTCTTAAATGCTTTTTTATACATCCATTGAGATAATCATGTTTTTTATTCAGCAATTTGTTAATATGATATACTATGCTTATTAGTAAATCCCAAAGCACCCTGTATGCCTGGGACACGACCTGGTCTGAGTGGATGATCTTTTAAAAATGTTGGATTTGAACATTTTTGCATCCGTGTTCATCAGGGATATTGGTCTGTAGTTCTCTTTCTTTGTTGTGTCTTCTGGTTTGGGGATTAAGGTGGAGATGGTCCTAGAACAGGTGTTTGGGAGTATTCCTTCCTTTTGAACTGTTTTGAATAGTTTAAGAACTGGAATTAAATTTGATAGAGTTCAGCATTGAATCCAGCCAGTCCTGGGCTTGTTGTTGTTGTTGAAAGGAGATTTATTGTTGATTCAATCTCCACGTTGCCTATTGGTCTATTAAGATTTTTCTATGTCTTATAGACATATGTCTATGTATCCAGAAATCTATCCATTTCTTCTAGAATCTTCAGTTTGTTGGCATACGGCTATTTGTAGTAATTCCTGATGATTTGCTTTATTTCAGTGGCATCAAATGTAACCAACGAGGGTCTTCCTCTTCAGTATTTTAGGATAGTTGGGCCAATGATTTGTCTAATTTATTTATTCATTCATTTTTAAACCAACTCTTCATTTTCCTGATTATTTGTACTTTTAAAATTCATATTTTTAAGTGCATTTTCAAATTTTATTATTTCTTTACTAATTTTGAACTTGACTTGTTCTTTTTCTATAGCCTTTAAAAGATTTATTTATTTTTATTTAAAGGCAATAAAAGGAAGAGAAGGAAAGAAAGAAGAAAACTCTCCTATTTGCTTGTTCACTCCCCAAATGGTTGCAATTTTCAGAGCTGAGCCTGTGCAAAGCTGAGAGCCAGGAGCTGCTTCTGGGTGTGTGCAGGGTCTCAAGCCTTTGGGCCATCTCCTTTTGCTTTCCAAAGCGATAAGCAGGGATCTAGATAGGAAATTTCTTATGCTGTTAATTTTGAACTTAAGTCTATCATGATCAAAAAAGATACATGGCATGATTTAATTTTTTAAAATTTGTTGAAACTTTTTTATGGGTTAGAATATGGAGTTTTCTAAATGGTCCATGCACTAATGAGAAGAATTTGTTTTCTTTGGCTGTTGATGGAATTTTCTGTACATGTCAATTCCACTTGGTCCAGGCGAGTGATCTTTCTAATGTGTTGTTGATTAACCAGGATTCTGTTCAGAATTTTTGTATCAACTACATTCATCAAGGATATCAGTCTATGGTTTTCTTTCTTTACTGTTCCTTTTTAAGTTACTGGAATTATGATCATAGGAATTTGATTTCCTTTCAGTTATTTTGAAAAGTTTGAGAAGAATTATAATTAGTCCTTCTTGAAAAGTTTGGCAGAATTTAGCAGAAAAGCCAGCAGGTCCTGGGCTTTTGTTGTTGTTTAAAGATTTATTTATGTTTTTTGGAAGGGCAGATTTACAGAGAAAAGAGATATTCCATCCATGGTTCACTCCCCAAGCAGCCACAGTGGCCAGAGCTGAGCCAATCTGAAGCCAGAAGCCAGGAACTACTTTCAGGTCTCCTTCGTGGGTACAGGGCCTGAAGGCTCTGGGCCATCTTCCATTGTTTTCTCATGCCATACGCAGGCAGCTGGATGGGAAGTAGAGCAGCCTGGGCAGGAATTGGTGCCCATATGGAACCATGGCATGTGCAAGGTGGGATTTAGCTGCTGGGTCATCATGCCAGGCATGCTTTTATTATTATTGTTGTAAGATCTTTACTACTGATTTAGTCATTGTCTTAATTGTTGGTCTATTTAGGTTTTTTGTCGATATGCCTCAGTTTAGGTAGATTGTATGTGTCCAGAAAACCATCATTTTTTTCTGTTTTCCAATTTGTTGGCACGTGGTTGTTTGTAGTAATACCTGATGATCCTTTTTCTTATCTGGGTTGTCTCATTGTTACATCTCCATTCTTATCTCTGATTTTATTGGTTTGAATCTTCTTCCTCTTTTTTGGTTAGTTTGACCAATGAGAGTCAATTTTTAAAAATTTTTATTTAAACAAACTCTTTGATTAACTGATACTATGTATCCTCTTTCACATAAATTGTGTTTGTTTCTGCTCCTTTGGGTATGGTTTGTTGTTATTCTGTATCCTTGAGATGCATTGATAGGTCATTTGTTTGATGCATTTTTCAATTTCTAAATATAGGCATTGCTATGAACTTCTCCCTTTACATTGCTTTTGCTATATTCATAGTTTGGTATATAACGCTGCATATTCATTTGTTTCTGTGACATTTTTGTTTATCTTTTGGTATCTTCTATGCTCATTCAGGAGCATGTTGTTCAGTCTGTACATGCTTACATAATTGCTAGAGTTCAATTAGCTATTTCCAATTTCCTTCCATTGTGGTTAGAAAAGATACATGGTATGATTTCAATATTTTTTTCCGCTTACTGAAGCTTGCTTTATGATGTAGAATATGGTCTATTCTAGAATAGTTTCCAAGAATTGATGAAAAGCATTTGTGTTCTACATCTATGGGATGAAATGTTCTGTAGGTATCATTTAGGTCCATTTGGTCCATAGTATAGACTAGCTCTTATTTCTTATTGGTTTTCTATCTAATCAATTGTTGAAAATGGAGTGTGAAATCTCTTATTATTATTGCATTGAAGTCTATGTCTCCCTTTAGATCCATTCATGATTTTTTTTAAAGCCAGATGCCCTAGCGTTGAGTGCATATACATTTTCCATAGTTATTTCTTGTTGTTGAATTTATCTTTTATTCACTGTGTGATATCTTTCTTTACATCTTTAAGCAGTCTCTATTTTGTCAGTTATAAGAAAGGCTCTGGCTACTCAGTACTTCTTTGCATTGGCATGAAATATATTACTTTCATCCTTTCACTTTTCAGTTTGTGTGTATCTTTGTTGGTTAAATGTGTTTCTGGTAGGCATTAAACACATGGGGTCTTGATTTTTGATCCATTCAGCCAGGCTATATCTTTTGAAGAGGGAATTTTGACCATTTGTATTCAGGATCATTATTGAAAGGTAATAACTTGGTCCTACCATTTTGCTACAAACATTTTCATTGTTTTCTTTGGATTTTCTTTTTTACTTTTACTGATTTTTTTCAACCTCTCATTCTTTATGGCGATTATCTTTCTCCATTTTCATGTGTAGCACATCCCTAAGCATTACTCATAAAGCTGAATGGATACTGACAAATTCTTTAAATCTGTTTGTTTTGAAAGGTCTTTATTTTGCCTTAACTTATAAATGGGATATTTGTAGGATACAGTACTTGGGTTCCCTATTTCTTCTCCTAGGTCCTGGCATATGTTGTCCTGTGTCTCCTAACCTATAGGGCTTATGGTGAGAAATCATATTAGTCTAATCATGGATTCTCTAAAGGTAAGCTGGCATATTTCTTATGCACATTTTAGAATTTTTTCCTTATCTTTTCCTGTTGAGAGTTTGACTGTAATGTGTCATGGTGAAGGTCATTTCTGATTATGCCTATTAGAAATGCTATGTGCTTGCTGTACTGGGATGTCCCCTTCCTTCTCCACATCAGGGAATGTTCTCTGGTTACTTTGCTGAATAGTCTTCTAATGTATTCTCTCCTTTCACACGGTCAGGAATTCCCAAGATATGTATACTTGTTTGCTTTATAGTGTCCCATAAATCTTGAACACTATTTTGAGTTTTTAACTTTTTCAACTTTCTTTTTATTAGACTGGGATGTTCTTGTTTTTTCTTCCCCAAGCCTATTGTTGAGGCTTTTCGTTTTCTACTTGACATATTGAATTCTTCATTTCTAATTATTTTCACTTGATTTCTCTTTTCTTAAGATTTGGTTAATATTTTTATTGGAAAACCACAGGGAAAGATATTTCATTTGCTGCTTCACTCCCCAGGTGACCTTAACAACCATAGCTGAGCTGATCCAAAGCCAAGAGCCAGAAGCTTCTTTTGGTTCTCCCACATGGGTGCAGGATCCCAAGGCCTTAGGCTATCTTCTACAGCTTTCCAAGGCAAGAACAGGAAGCTGGATGGGAAATAGAGCAGCTGGGACATGAACCAGTACCCACATAGGCTCCTGGTGTAGGCAAGGCAAGGATTTTAGCTACCAGGCTATTGTGTCACGCCTTGATTTCTCTTTAAAAGCTCAATCTCAGGCCTGGTGCAGTAGCCTAGCAGCTTAAGTCCTCGCCTTACATGCAGAGGGATACCATATAGGCACCAGTTCTAATCCTGGATGCCCTGCTTCCCAACCAGCTCCCTGCTTATGGCCTGAGAAAGCAGTAAAGGACAGCCCAAAGCCTTGGACCCTGCACTCACATGGGAGACCTGGAAGAAACTTTGGGCTACTGGCTTCGGATCAGCTCAGGTCTGGCCATTACAGCCACTTGAGGAGTGAATCAGCGGACAGAAGATTTTTCTCTCTGGCTCTCCTCTTTTATGTATATCTGACTTTACAATAAAACAATAAATCTTTGTTTTTAAAAAAGCTCAGTGTCTTTGAGGAATTTTTGATCCATATCGTGTGCATTTATTTTATTATTTTATGATGCAGTTCCATAGGCTCTGTTGTGTGTATTTCTTTATCTCAGTAATTTCTCTGTATTTTTTAGGAATCCTGTGATAATTTTTTGTACTTATTTTTAGATATTTCTTCAGTCTCTTCATCTTCACATTTTAATATTGGAGTAATTATGCTCCCTTTTTCGGAGTCATAATGTCTTCCTTGTTTTTTATTTCTTGTGTTTCTGTATTTATTTTTAATCATCTATGTAAGCATTTGTTGGCTTTCTCTTGCGGTGGTTGTTATCGTTAATCTATGCCTCTTTAGTCTGGTGAAGTGACTGCTCCTTCAGGTATGTTCATGTTAAGGCCGGGGCCCTCAGACCAGTGCTCAAGTATACCCTGAGAACACAGAGCGATACCCAGTTGGGCGTGGTATGAGCTCTTCATTTGTCAGGATTAGCCCACCGTGAAGAGCTGCTTTGACACATCATGATCACGCAAAGCTCCTCTCATGCTAGGGCCCACTCTTGGTGTTGCAACCCACAGAGTGTGGGTTAAGACAAGTAGGTGATGACATGTGTCCATCACTGAGTAGTTCCACTGTCCTAAAAGCCCTTATGCACCTCTTGTTTATCTCTCCCATATCCAACCACTGACAACCTCTGTTCTTTTTACTCTCTTTATAATATGAAGCTTTTTCATGTTGATTTCTTTCACTTAGTGTTATGTGTTTAAGCTTCCTCTGTGTCTTGTCTTGACTGAATGGCTCGCTTCTTTCTATCACAAGTTCTATTTTGTTGTCTAGATGTATTACAGTTTATCTGTCTACCTCCTTGAGAACATTGTGATTGATCTGAAGCTTTTCAAACATGAATGAAGCATCTGTGCCCATCCACATGTAAGCCTGTGTAGGCTGAAGTTTTGGCTCCTGACCAAGTGCCCCTGTTACAGTTCTAACTTTTTTCCTACCTAAAATTTCTGCTGATGGATTTTTGTTGCAGTAAACTGTGGTTCTCCATATTTGCTTGTCTCGCTAAGTGAGAGGGAATATTCTGCCCTATGACCTAATTTTTCTTATTTGCCTAGGAAAATTTGTTGCTTTTTCAGTTCACTCTTGTTTTTACTTGTTGTTAAAATTGTGTGATGACCTCCAGGCTTTATGTGTGCTGGAACAGGGGCCAAAGTCTCTGTGAAAAGTTTTCATATGACACATAAATTCTCTTTACTTGCAATGGAGCTGTTTCTATTTTCCACTCATTTCTGAGTTTATTTGGTAGTTTGTGGACTGCTGACATATGCACTCCACTGAAGCTTTCTAATTTGTTGACATATAGTAACTCACATTATTTTCTTTGTAAAGGGGATAGTGGCATCTCTCCTTTTACTCTAGATTTTAGTAGCGTGGATCTTCCCTCTTTTATCATGATCGTTCTAACATTTAAAAAATTTCCTTAGTATTGTTAACCGATTTTCAGTTTCATCATTTTCCTATTATTGTTGTATTCTTTCTTTCTTCATTTCTGCTCAAGCATTAATCCTCACTATTTGATTTTAAGCTTCTTTTCCTTTTTCCATGCCTGGAGATGTTAGATGATTTATTTTAGACCCTTTTATTTCTTGTTAATGCTGTTGTAGTTGTTGTAGATGCTTGTGACCATTAATTTCCTTCTGACTATTGTTTAGCTGCACCATTTTGAAAATGGAATATTGAGGTATCAACTATAATTCTCATTACATTGCCAGGTTTTGCCTTACATATGTTGAGGCTCTTCTGTACATGTTTTCAAATATTCCATCTCCCCAATGCCTTTTTATGAAGTGTCCCTCTTTATCTTCAATACACTTTTATTCTGAATCTTAGTTTACCTGCTATTAATATGATCACTGCAGGTTTCGTATGATCGCTGTGTGAGTGTAGTTTTTCCATCCTTTAGCTTTCCATTTACTTGTATTTTAAAATCTAAATTGTGTCTCCATGTATAGTCTGATTATACCTGGCTTTGTTTTCTTACCCAGTCTGATGGTTTCTGGTTTCTGACTGGATGGTTTAATTCATTCATACTTAAAACTATTATTGCTATAATTTATTTCTAACATTATATGGCTTTTTATGTACTATGTACTTTCCTTTTCATGTCTCCCTTATTGCTTTATTTGCACTAAGTGAATATTTTATAGTATAACATTTCCACATCTTTAATTGTTAAAAACATGCCTTAATTTTTATTGCTTGCTTTAGAACTTTCCATATACATCTAAGATATTAGAATCTGTCTCATCTTGCACCCAACTCAGTTCCAGTGAGATACGAAACACGACTCAAAGCTCTATTTTCTTTTTTCTCATTTTGAAACATTTTCATTTTATGCATTATATCTATGCATGTTGAAACTCAAACACCACATTTTATCACAATTCTTTTATGTAAGCATATGTCTACTAAAAGCTAACAATTAGATGTAGTCATAGAGTGCACTGACCTTTGTTACCCATTTTAGTTTCTGTTCCTGCGAGTTTGAGTTAATTCCAGGTGTATTTTTTTACTCTAATGCAATGTTGTTGCTACCCACTCCTTTGTGCTGTTATTATGAAATGTATTTTCGTATGCTGCTGCCCAACAATACCATTTTGTACATATTATTTAATGGTCAATTTTTGGTATCAGCTAAAGAAAAGAAGTAAACATTTTACCTTTTGTAGTTACATAATTCCTTTGCTCTTTTCAAGATGTTTCACTTTTTAGTAAACAGATAACATTAAGTTTCTTATGTACACCATGTTGTTTTGAAGGTCATATGCATCGGGGAATGGTTAAAACTAATTCGCGAGTCTGACTGCACCCACATTTTGTTTTGTTGTAGGGAGAACACACATTATTCACTCATTTTACATTTTTTTAGGTTCCCACTAGACTGTCACTGGCTAAAATCAGCTTGTTGTATCATATGCCCTTGAAGTTTATTCATGTATCCTTTCACCACTGTTTTCTCACTCCAGCCACCCCAACCTCTGGTAACTACCATTCTGTTTCCCACTTTGGTAGGAGTAGCTGCTAATGGTTACATGTGCATAAGACACGTGGAGCTTGTCTCTTCATGTCTGATTAGTTGTATTTAATATATTATCCTCAGATTCATCCACGTTGTTGCAAATGACAAATTTATTCTTCGTATGCCTAAAGAGTACTCAATTGTGTACAGACACCACACATTCTTCATGCAAATATTATTTGATAGACACTTAGATTGGGTCCACATTTTGGCTATTTTGAGTACCCTTGTGGTACCACGTAAAGGTCTCTTCAACTTACTGGTTTCAATTGCTTTAGACATAAGTCGAGCAATGGTGTTACTGAACCATATAGAAGTTCTATTTTTAATTTTTTGAGAAACCTTCATGTAATTTTCCATAATAGCTGCACTGATTTGTATTTCCATCAGCAGTGTATGAAAGTCTTTTCTCTACATTCTCAACCGCACATGTTATCTTTGCTCTTCTTATAACATTCATTTTCATTAGAGTGAGGTGACATTTCATTGTGGTTTGTATCAACATATCCCTGGTTATCAGTAATATTTGATAGATATATTTTTCATATACCTACTGGTCAATTGTTCATGTTCTTTTTCATTTTTTAATATTTTAAAATAAATTATTTATTTTTCATAATAGAGTTCCTTAGGCTCAGGGATTTCCCCTTCCACCCTCCTCCACCTTCTTTCCCACACTGGTTCCATCCATATTGTAACACTAGTCCAATCCTTCAAAATCAGTCACAGATCTGTCATTCTGCTATTTAAGTGTATCCTGACACTGTAGATATGGAGCATGGTATAAAGTCCAGCATTCTATTGTTAAGATATATTTAACAGATTCACTGGGAGTCCATCTTTTATTCAGAAGTAGAGATGTGTACTGCAATGAATTGCTACCTCATGATATACTTGCCTACATTATATAGATCCTATAGATAAACATATGTGTATGTATATATATATATATATATATATATATATTTACCCATATATCCAGGGATCTTGTATTTTACATGAAGGTTGCCTTATATCAGAGACAGCATATAATATTTTTGCATTTGAGACAGGCATATTCAAGAGCTTGAGTGCATATGTGGGTGTTGCAGCAACAGGGAAATTCTAAGTTCAGCCTGAGTGATTTTTTCTTCATTATTTATTGTGAAATGGGGAAGCTAGCTTTGTTTGCCTGGGAATATTGATTTCATAAATCTTCCAACTGCTGGTTCACTCCCCAGATGGTTGCAAGACACAGAGCTGGGCTGAAACTTTGAGCTGGGAACTTCTTCCAGGGGCCATTTGAATATTTGTAGCATCACTCATGGGCCACACAGCTTGATCAGCTTAAAAATCAGTCTGCCATGGCTTTATTTATAGACTCTGAGCCCTGCTTGCAGTTGCCTTTGCTGAGCCAGACACAATGATTTCATGGGTAAACATAGGAGCCATGCGCAGTGTCTCGCCCACCTTGGACAGAGAGCAGGATGAAACTCTCAGCAAAGATCTGACCTTGTACTTCCTTTTTAGATACCCTGCAGATCCTCAGACCAAACTTGTATGTAGAAATGCATTTTCATATTTTCCCTTATTTTTCATTTCTTCTTTTACTAAAGAAACAGCCTCTGTATATTGAAGGATAACAAATTATTTTCTAAATTTGTATTCTAACATTTCCACTTATTTCTTTTGACATGACTTATTATATAGCTATGAATTTTGTTTTACTGTATTACAGTATTGCTTGCCAATTATTAAATTGTATTATTAAATTTATTATTATTTAACCATTACATCAGAAATTCACATCCTAAGCTATTTTAAATGTACCATATAAGTTTCACTAATATGGTAGTGTTGCAACAGAACTACATTGCTTTAAGTCTGTAACTCTACAATATTTCAACCCTAACTATGGTTCCTCTATTTGTCTAGCATGGTTCATGTTGAGTATTTCCAGAAGCAGTTTTGAAAACAAGAAAAAGTCATTTCACAGACTATTTTTTGTGATGAATAGAAAAACAAATAGAATTCATACCTAGTTCATCACAAGTGAAATGTCCAAAAGGAATACTAGTTCTTCTCTCGGCTTTCTTTTTTTCAGGAGACCACGAAGCCCACCAGCCCTGGAATTCAGAGTGTGGAAATCGATGTATTCTCTGAAGATAACTACTCAATTTCACGGAATATCCAAAAGGTGACTTTTCTAGGACCTTGTGGGAAGGACCATGTTGCCCATCCACAGCCATTGTGAAAAACTTCCAGAGCTGAACTTAGAGCAAAGTCTAGGGCAATGTCTCACACACCTTTCCACTATTACACTTGGGTAAGGACAATTTATGGGGGGAGGAGGCTTCCCTGAGAAGGTTAAGGATCTTAATAGCATTCTTGGCCTCTACTCACTAGTTGCCAGTGGCATCCCTTGGTGAGGTCATCAGATATGATGTCCAGAAAGAAAAGAAAATCAACAGAACCACTGACTGGAACCTAGCATTCCCACAGTCCAGAGAAGTGAACAATGCGCCTCGGTCATCCTTAGTACCTGACTTCCCTGCCTGGAGCCAGGAGGCCTATCAAGATTTTGCTTTGTACAAAGGGAAATGTTAAGGGGCTGGGCCTCATACACATTACAGTTGCTCCAGTAATCAGTCAGTCAGTTCTTTCTTGAAGTCAGGGCCATCAGAGGACTCAGAGAAGCACAGCACTTGCCAGGTGTTTCCCTGACATTCTTCACACTTAGAAGCCTTTGACCAGTTGGAGTCATCCCTTGCAAGTCAGAAAAGGAAGACCTGGTTGCATCGTGGTGAGGTAAAGTCTCACAACTCCCTCTTTGCTCTGCTCTGACTTGCAGAAGCCTGACACTAACAGTGTCCTCTCTGAATGTAGTACCATTGATCCCCAGGACACCTTTAGGTGGTTAACTGAAATGACTCCCGCAAAGCAGCCAGAGAGATGCTTGCCCAAAGGTAAGTACCAGTATTCCTGAACACAATACACAGAATCATTGCATGAGATTCTTGTTCTTCTTTGAAGCTCTGTCATTTGGGTAGATGTCTTCTTTATCTTTTTACCACAGCAAAGAGAGGGCATCTATAAAGTTAGTATACAGGTAAAAGAAGTTTGAGTAACTTTTGTTTTTATGTGGGCTTCACTCATACAACCCAACAAGCAGGAGAGATGCTCTATGAAGCTCGTTGGGTCAGCATGGCTGTGAAGTTTCCCATAATTCATCATCCATCATCAGAATATACTATTGAGGTAAGATGAACAAATAAATAAATAACATAAGTTGCTCCATAATAGTCACGGAGCATTAGTGGCATAGACTAGTAGCCATGTGCCTTATCACTGAGCTGATCTCAACTGTCTCTGTCTGCGGAATTTGGTTCACTTTCTTCATGCAAGTGGCATTGGGTGAGATCAGTGATCTAATCCGGGATCAACTGGTAAGCATGGCTCTGCCTGGCCTGTCTATAACTGACTCTCAAAACCAATGAGTTGGCCCGACTATGCCTTTTCCCCCTCTTGAGTTAGTACCAGGCATCAAGTGGAATGTCTTTTGAAGGCCTAGGTTTGAAACTGAACGGTGTCACTTCCAGTTCACTTGAGTGTCCAGTCAACTGGTTTAGCCCATGTTCAAAGGGTTGGGAGGGTCACGACTCCTTTAACAGGGAAACTGCAGGCCTCGTGAGCAAGGGTGTGAATACAGGAAGGGTGGGGACTTAAGGCAATTTACTACAGAACACTAATGGTGGTGCTACTACTGATTTCTTTCAGGCCTGTGTTCCTACTTTCCATGTTGTAGGGTGGACAAGAGAAAGTCTGCCTGGGTCCTTTGGTGGAACCTGCGGAAAACCTGCTATCAAATAGTGAAACACAGCTGGTTTGAGAGCTTTATTATCTTTGTGATTCTGCTGAGCAGTGGGGCACTGGTAAATTATCATGGTCTTGTGGGAATGCTGCGTATTAGGGAATCTGGGGAAGCTACATGCTCTGATTTGGCTCTTCCTGGAGCTGTGAATGCAGATAGACCAGAAAGCAGCAGAATCTGCATCATGGCTTACTCAGGGAGCTGATTTTTATACAACTATGCACATCATCTTAGGTCTCATGTGTTTCCATAAAAGCGAGTGCAAGCTAAGCAGAACAGGACTGAACACACATGCAGAGGTGGCCAACAGTGCAGCCCAGATCATTTCATTGTGCACATTTGTAGAGAAAGGAAATAAGAAGCATCTGATCTACCACCACCATATGTGGTCTACAGTCCAGCAGCGTCATCATTGCTGGACAGCTTGTCACAAATGCAGAGTTGTGAGCCCACCACAAACCAACCAGACGAAAATCTACATTACATCAAGTTCCCTTGGTGATTAGGAGCTCGTTGGAGTTTGAGAAGCTCTGTTATCAGCAGCTGTGTTCATCACAGGGGTGTCCTAAGCCAGGAAACACCTGTCACCATGTAGGAGTCCCTGAAGTTCATGGACTATGGTCAACCTTCTCAGTCCACTGAGCTGACCCGCACTCTCTGGACCCACCTGTCTCTATCCTGTCTGTCCTCAAGACCAGAACACATGAGTCCCCTGACCTCCAGGAGCATGGAGTAGAGAAGGTAGAGGAGCCATTATAAACCAGGGCCACAGTGATGTGATCAGAGCATATAGCATGGAACATGTAGCATGGGCACCTACCTGTTTTTCTGGAATAGAACAAACTCCGACAAAAAAAAAAAGGGGGGCAATAAAGCTGAGGCTGTTGTTTTAAGACATATTTTCCTTTTTATTGGAAAGGTAGATTTACAGAGAGGAGAGACAGAGAAAGATCATCCACCTCCTGGTTCATTCCCCAAATGGCTGCAATAACTGGAACTGAGCTGATCCCAAATCGGGAGCCAGGAGTTTCTTTTGAGTCTTCCATGCAGGTGCAGGGTCACAAAGTTTTTGGCCATCTTGTACTGTTTTTCCAGCTCAATAAACAGGGTGCTGCACTGGAAGTACAGCAGCTGAGACACAACCAGGGGCCATGTGGAATGCTGACACTTGCAGGCAGATGATTCGCCAGTTGAGCCATCACACTGGCACCTGAAGCTGATATCGTAAGGCTGAGAAGGAATAAGGAAGCGGGAGGAGATGCAGTCTCCAGTGAGGGCCAAGATTGTTTCTTAGAGACATTCTGTTGTCCCAAGCACCCAACACCAGGGCTGATTTCCTTCCCGTCTTCAAGTTTGTCTTAATAGCTCAAGTAGATTTAGTATCAGGCCCCTCTTCTCTCCTTTCTTCCAATCCCAATAATTACAGAAAGGCCACACCACACAGTCTACACCTGAGTTGTAAAGAGCCTCCAGAATCATGCTCATCTTCTACCTGAGTAAACATTTGCACACAGCAGCCAAAAGAATCTCAGAAGACTGGGATATCTAATTTTTACAATCACATTGAATGAACATTTAATATTTGAGGCAGCTCACATGAGGTCCCAAACTTCCCAAATTCTGCATAGAAGCCTCAGTGGCAAACGAGCATGGCTCTTTATGGTGAGAGACATGGCCTGGGGTATGTGACCTCAAGGCTGCAGGAAGTGCAGATAACACTGAAACGGCCTCTGGAGATGGCCTGTGCTACCAAGTGGTTCTGGAAACGTCACCAAGACACACTTGACAAGAGTCGAAAGGATTAGGACATCTAGGGGCCCGGCGCGGTGGCCTAATGGCTAAAGTTCTTGCCCTGAATGTGCCAGGATCCCATATGGATGCCGGTTCTAATCCCGGCAGCTCCACATCCCATCCAGCTCCCTGCTTGTAGCCTGGAAAAACAGTCAAGGACGGCCCAAAGCCTTGGGACCCTGCACCTGCGTGGGAGACCTGGAAGAAGTTCCTGGCTCCTGGTTTCAAATTGGTTCAGCATCGGCCGTCGCAGTCACTTGGGGAGTGAACTATCAGATGGAGGATCTTCCTCTCTGTCTCTCCTCCTCTCTGTATATCTGACTTGCAATAAAAATAAATAAAAATCTTTTAAAAATAAAAAAAGGATTAGGACATCTAGGAAATGTGGTGGGAAGATGATTGTATGTATGGAGGGCCAGTAATGAGGGGCTGGAGAGCCTTAGAGACCCACAGGTGTATGAATGGTATTTTTCTTCCTCTGTTTTCATTGGTTCAAGGAATGATTTCCACTAAAAAAAAAGCCCAGTCATAACGTCTTTGGAGTAAAACTGTATTTCCAAGAAAGATGCTAGCTTTTAGTTACATAAGGAAAAAAAAAATGCATCAACTGGGAGTTTTTTGGTTTTTTTTTTTTTTTTTTTTTACAAATATTCAGTCTGGCCTATGGCTTTCTTTATCATTTCAGGTATTTGAAGATGTTCATCTTAAGGAACGGCCCAACATTCAAAAGTTACTCAATTGTACAGACAATATCTTCACGTTTATTTTTATCCTGGAGATGGGTCTAAAATGGGTGTCCTTTGGATTCAGAAAGTATTTCACCAGTGTCTGGTGCTGGCTCGATTTCATCATTGTAATCGTAAGTTCACCATGTCTGTGTGCCCAGCAGGCTGAAGCTGGGGTGGGGTGGGGTGGGGTGGGGAGCAGAAAAGGGGATTGGCATGGCTACCTCACAGAGGGTTCACAGGAAATGCAATTAAAAGTTTACCCTTGTGCAAAAATAAATAAATAAAAATTGAAATTAAATAAAGCAAGCGAAACCTATACATAATAAGGGGTCTTCAAAAAAAAAAGTTCATGGAAATGAATGTTTTGAAACAACTCTATATGGATTTCAAAACTTTTTTCACTAAAGATAAACTTAGTTTTAAATTCCATTTTCCAATATATATATAAACTTTGGGCATTTTCTTGCCTGTAAGCTTCACACAGACACCTCTCCAAAGTATCGCTTTATTGTCATCGTGTCTTCACAGTACCTGCAAATGGCTGTCACTTGTCCATCAGGAGGCCAGCCTTTCCCAACTCCAGCCCTCCCCACTGCTCAGCACACACACATACTGTGCTTCACACACGAACCATTCCAATCTCGTCCATGGTGATGTTGACCCACTTCTCTCCACAACCATGACAAACATGGCAAGCACACTTGGAATAATTCCAAGTATTTTTCACTTCCCCATCCCCTTCTCACTTTTCATGCCTTTTCAAGACTTCTCAAAACTAGTCATCACCAACAGATTGGGCTGATCTCAATCTTGAGTTTTCACTAGTACAAAAGGATTTTTCACATATAGTCTTTCATTTAATCTGCACAATGATGTTCCAGCTTACAGTGCATTGTACAACTGCCGTGTGACAGATGAGGAAACCAGAAACTCAGCATCAGCAATTTATTTCTGCTCGTGGAACCTAAGTGATGAAACTGGGATTCCCACCTCCATCCATGAATTGCCAAAATTGATAATAATTCTTGTGAGGCACATTTGTCAGTTGATTACAACAGCGGTTCTATCATGAATTCCATATGTGTATTCTCTTATAATTATCATAGTAACTCTTTGGGGTAAGTACTATGATTTTTCCTATATTCAGAGGAAGAATAATAGTACCTATCCCAAAATGTGAGACAGTAGTAGATAAAAAAACACATTTAAGATTGCTGTACTTAGAAAGGGTAAATGTGAGATTCAAACCCATTAAGTCTCGCTCCAGAGTGCTCAAGTTTACACATACACTGTTTCTACTATGAGCTAATACTTTGTCCCTGCTGTTTGAGGTAGTGGATGAGATAAATGGCAAGAGCACAAGCCATGTGGTCAGCAAAACCCACTTGAAATTCACATCATTGGAGGAAAACAGATGGGTCATTGGTTCCGGCATTGTAGAAAGGCCTCAGTGCTGAAGGAGCTCCAACTCAAGGATGTGAACAAGAACAACTACTTGTCATCCTTATCAATGTCCACAGTGCTAAGAATTCCACACCAGTTAGAATCTAAAACACGTGGGAGCATCTTCATTAAAGGATCCTGTGCATACTGGATACAGCCATCGGCATAGGACACTGAGTCCTGAAGTTAGCTTGCCTGCTGTCTTTCTGAGTTACGAGCATTTTTCCTTTTTTGGCATTAACTTTCTCATAGGTAAAAATGAGGATGTGCACTATAAACTGGCCAGATAAACTAAATACAAAATAGGAAACATAGATGTAGCAATAACCCTTCCCAACATCGAAACAGTGATTCAAACTCATGCTGTCCAACAAAGGGCAACAGGCCCAGACAGGTCTAGGGGCGAGATTTAGTAATCTTCAAAAGAGCAGTTAACTTCAAGAAAAGAGGAAAATCTTATAAAGCAATTAATGAAGCAAGTATAATCCTGATAACAAAATGAATAGAACAAGAAAATAAAGCAATCTTTCTAAGCAGATTTATTCCATTTTTGTTTGAAAGACAGAGTTACAGAGAGCGGGAGAGAGAGATCTTGAATTCCATCAAAAAACACAGGTTAGCAGAGAAAACACATTAAAAAGAGATTTTTCTCTTCATTTACCAGATTGTCAAAAAATTTAAAGTTAGATGGTGCCTAACATTGAGAATGAGATAGGAAAGCAATTTCCAATCACTGGTAATATTTTAATTACTACAACCATTATGAAGAAAGTCTTGCATTATTGTAAAATTACAAATAAGCCAATCGTTTCTCGGCCTTATGGCTAGATCAAGTGTAAAATTACAAATAAGTCCAACTTACAATCCATTAATATAACTTTCTCTTACATATCCAAGGGAAATTTTCATATGTATACCCTGGAAAAGCACACATTTGTGCAGTTAACTGCTGTTCATAGTAACAAAACATTGAAATATCCCAGATATTCAACAAGGGAAAATGGATCTGTAAAACACGACAAGTCGTATGTTCTAATATTACCAACACTTAAAGGAGCAAACTACAGAAATATAAGCTGAAATGCATAAAAACTACAGCAATATAAATTTCAAAACCAGTGTACAGTAAAAAAGTAGCATAAGATTTCCCACATGATGAATGCCATAGGATGGAGAAGAAAGGAGATGTTTTTGTGTGAGGGCCTCGTCTGTGCCACCAAAGTTGGTGGAAGTGAGCCAGGGAGAGCTTTCAGGGGGAAAGCTTGGTGACTTCCTTCTTGGAATACCTTTTCCCCACCGTGAGGATGGTGATGGTATTGCAGAGTAGCCTCTCCATGCTCTTCCCCTTTCTGCCGGCAGGAACAAGGTAGCCGTACATGTGCAAAAATTGTTCAATTAATTCTCCAGATGAGCAAAGCTATCACAAGCAAAAATCCTGTTTTTAAAAACCACTATGAATAAAAACATCTTGGGTTGCATGTACCTTTTGGAATCTCTCAGTTCTGTCCACCGTAACTCATTTAACGTATCTTGGTTGATGGATGTGTTACTGCTGCATTGAGGCTGGCAGGATGACTAGGCAGTATCTCTAGGTTAGAATGAACTCTGGCATCAGCTGAGTCGTCAATATGCTGACTCACTTCCTGTGCAGATAGGCAGCTTTCAAGGTGAACCTGCGAGGACCCACTGTTCGCTGTCCGGCAGCGATGGACTCAGTGCACAGAGCCGATAACAATACACACAAGGACTACTGACTGATGGTCATTAGCTGAAGTTTATTAACAACATCAGACTTTTAAAGACTGGGGGGTCACATAGACACAAGCATTAGGGAGTCTCCTTTCCTTGCTCTGCCTGGAGCGGGGAAGCACCTCTCTTTGTTTTTTCTATACAATTGTTCTCATACAAATGATATCCAATCAATTGTTGTCATACAAATGATAGCTAACCTATTATTCCCAGGCAAATGATATCCACTCAATTATTGTCATTCAAATGATATCCAATTAATTGTCCTCCTATAACCCATAATAGTAAGAGTGGTTGAGGCGCTACAGAGAGTCATCTCCAAACTGGAGTTCATCGTTCTGGGAGGTTTTAACTTCAAGTACTTTCCAGTTTTTCAGTCCATAGTCCTGTCCTCCCAGGGAGAAAAAAAATACTTTTTTAAATTCCTCTCTCCCCCACAAAGGATCTATTTGAGTAAAGGGAAAAAATCAGTGAACAGGCAACTTAGTTTTCTTCCTGATTTTTCTTCTGCTATCATTCCAAGCTTACAGACAAGTTTCCAGGAATGGGGGAACAAGCTGCTCCCGGTGGCTCAGGTGCCATCCGGCTGCTAAATTGCTTTCCTGCTCTATTTTTTGTTTTTTTCTAAATGGTTTGAGATTCAGTCACAACAATCATACCACTTGCCTGCGAAACACCTCAGTTTGTCTTTCCTAGCCAGGGCACTGTCTCACAAAGTCCCGGTACAATGACCAATACTAGGAAATTCCGCATTGACTCAATATGGAACCCCCGTGTGTCTGCTTCCCACCACCATAGCAACGCAGGAGGCAGTTCAAGAGCCCATGCTATCCATCAGCCAAGGGTGATTTCTTGACACTCTGAATTTCTCTGATTTTCTTTGACTTTCATCAAAAACAACAATAGTGGAAATGCATGACTTTTGCTTTTGTGAATGGTAGCTTTGCCAGAAAGTCGGAAACATGGCGGCTCCCTCCACCCTCGCCCTTCAGCAAGGTCTCACTGTTCCTGCGGATACAATGCTTCTGTCTCCCAGCAAGGGAGCTCAGAGCCCTTCTTCACTGGCTTCCCTGGGGCCCACCGCGGGCACAACACCTGTAGCTTCTCCTTCCGCCAGGTGTCTGTGATCAGTCTAATCAACGTGAAGAGCTTGAAGTCCTTCCGGACTCTGCGAGCGCTGAGGCCTCTGCGGGCACTGTCACAATTTGAAGGAATGAAGGTACGTTCTCCAATGGGATGGGAGTTCAGCCAACAGAGGAAGGTGACTGCCCTGTGGCTGAACTGTCCTTCAGACAACAAGACTTCCCTTTTATTTGTACCTCTGCATCTCGAGGCATAGACTTTGAGAGGCAGAGACACTACCACCAAAGAATCTGCATGACAACTCAAGTGAGCTCTGCCTTCCCTTGGGAATCCCAGGGCAAGTGTCTCTTAAAACACCATCTTCAATCATGCTTCTTGAGTTGACTTTGCAGCCATATGAGCAGGGAAGGTCATGCATAAGGGGTAGGTGATACAGAGAGGAAAGCTGGAGCTCAAGCCGACCCATCTTGGAGAGATCATAAGCTGCATATGCTCTAGCCAGCTGGTACGTTTTTCTTCCTTTTCGTTTCCCTCAGGTGGTGGTCAACGCTCTCATCGGCGCCATACCTGCCATTCTGAATGTCTTGCTTGTCTGCCTCATTGTCTGGCTCATATTTTGTATACTCGGAGTAACCTTTTTTTCGGGGAAATTTGGCAAATGCGTTAATGAGACAGATCCAAATACACCTATCAATCATACCATCATTACAAACAGAAGCCAATGTGAGACTGGCAATTTGTCCTGGGTCACCCCAGAAATCAACTTTGACAACGTGGGGACAGCTTATTTGGCTCTGCTGCAGGTGGTAAGTACTGTATGTATGACTGCACTGAGAAAACTCTTAAGAAACACAGATCACTTTGAAGGTAATACAACTGCAGTGACTTCGTTGAGATAACAGACCCAAATCCTAGCTCCTTGTGTGGGACCCAAGGCCTCCTGGATTTGTCCTACTGAGCGCCTCCCTCTGTTGCCTGTTGAATCTTACTCCCCAAGTGGTATCCCTTAACTATCCATAGTACCTTGCTCACCCTCAGGTCATAACGTTTTAAACAGATGCTAGGTGTGGTATATGGAAGTTGGGCCATATTTTGTTTAACACTTATTGTTAGCAATGCCTTTTATTTTTAAACTTTCTATTTTGTGAAAATTTTAAAAAGAAAAAAAAAAATCCAAGAAATTTATCCTCACATTCCCTTCTACTAGCATTTCGTGTGAACACCCTTTTCGGGCATGACGGGGCCTCGTTTTATCTATATTGGCACACTAGGCCTGGTCTTTTTGCATTTGTCGGTTGTTGACAAGTCTGCAGCCACATTTGTGTATTTCTGCTTTGGTTGCAGGCAACATATAAGGGCTGGATGGATATTATGTATGCTGCTGTTGATTCAAGAGGGGTGAGTCTGTTATTCCATGTTCTAGAATGCTAAGATTAAAGCAGGGATATCATGAGCATCGAACAGCCCAGAACTTCCTGCATGCAGGTTTAATAACCAGGGTTCTCCACCTCATTTCCCTAGGACAGAACTTTGAAAACAACCACTGCCTGATTAAATGCATTTATATGTATCTTCCTGTGTATTTCTGATACCCCCAACATTTTCACAAGTGCACTCTTCTGTCTCCATGGAGACCAAAGGCAGTGTAGGAGGTAGACCTAGAAGCAAGAGAGAACTACAAGATACCTTGATTTGGTTCTCATCGCTTCCCTAAATATATAGACACGCAGAAGCCAAATTTCCAAGAATTAGAGAAAAAGACTAAAAAGACTAAAGTCAAACAAGAGGGAGCTCCATGGTTGCTGGTTCCCTGGAGACAAGGGGAGTTTCTGGAGATTTTCGACTGTTGAATTCTCATCACAAAGTAATCAGATTTCCAAAGTTGGAAGAGTAGTCAGCCATTTACCCTATTTTCTAGTTCTCAGATGAGTAAATTGAGGAATAGAAAGGTGTGAAATTGGCTGATGGCATAGAGGTTAGCAAATAGTCAAGTCAAAAAAATGGAATCAATGGAAAATTGGTTAATTTGTTCCCCCCTGCCCTAATGTATGTGTACACTCCACTCTGGGAGTCTGCAGAGTTAATGCCTGGCATGCAGTATGTGCTCAACAGGTGTGTGCTGTAGCAGTAGCTGAGCTGGTACGAGTGAGAGTTAGTCCTTATGGCTGTCCTAGTGTCTCAGGATGAGTTAATATGTGGAAGATGCATAGTAACAAATCTAGACCAGCTTAATCTTGCTAATGAAATCAAGTTTCTGGAAAGGCACAGCTAATAGATGTGTTTTTACTGTTTACAAAAATTACAACTTGGATTGTAATATTTACACAGAATATAACTGCATAGTCAGTCATACATTGTATGTACAATCTAATTTCATAATTACAATTTATAGCAAGTGTTTTAACAGTAGCAATGCACTCATTCCTTCCATGCTGCAAGCTTGATCAATTACCAATTCATCCATTTACTATTAAATTCATTCTATGCCTATTGACGGTCTACATATTGCAAGGTATGCTACAAGAGTGAAAGGACACAGCTAGAATAGAACGGTGGGCTCTGTATAAAGAAAGTCATAGCTCCTCTGGTGGCTCCCTCTAATTGAATATCCATGTAGATATCCTACAGATTTTTTTTTCAAAAGACAAAGGTGATTAAGCTGTTGTTGATTACAATGCTTCCCCCATGCTGACAATAAAAAGTCCAGCTCTGCCATGAGCAGGTATACTACACAAACTAAGCTGGGGAAGAACAGCTCTCGAAGAAGGGCTATGGCAATGCAAAAGAGGTTATAGACGCTTTGTTGTCTAGACAAAAGCAGTCAGGATGGTGCATATTATCTGCCGTAATCCTGTTTTTCTTCCGTTGAAAACCCCCCAACAGGAAAACCAACAACCAGCGTTTGAAGCAAATCCAGCTGTGTACTTCTACTTCGTAGTTTTTATCGTTTTAGGCTCGTTCTTCACCCTGAACCTCTTTATCGGTGTTATTATTGACAACTTCAACCAACAGCAGAAAAAGATAAGTATGTTGACTATCCTGATTTAGTAGTCTCATGTCCGATCTCCAGGAACTTTCGTGGAAAAGGTTCTAGTCTAAACTGATCTAAACAATTTTGCAAAGCATTCTTCACAGTCTGCATCAAGACAAAGAAACTCGCCACCCCTGTTGGAAGAGGACATTGAAGATAAGGCTAGGGAGAAGCTGCAAACATGGGAAGGGGTGGTTATTAAGCTAATTTTTTTTATTATCTGGCTTACAGTTAGAATCAATGAACGTTGTATTTGTCTGATTCTACGTCTGATCCTAATTAAACCTTAAGAGAACAGCTCTCAGGATTAGTATTTATGACACTACAGTAAGTCTTTGTTTTTGTTTTCACCGTTGTTGTTATGGGGGGGGCGGGTAATGGGTTTTTGTTTGTTTGTTATCTACAATAAAAATAATGACTGTTCCTCATTCAGCAAACTTGCCTCCTGGTTTGCAACACTCGGCCTTAGCAGATCTACTGAACTACTTAGAATGACAGTGACTGGGGAAGAAGAACAAGCCTTTGTAATGAATAGCTGTTTATTTTGCTGGTTCCAAAATCCACAGGCTCTTTGTAGTAGATAGGGTAGAATTAAGAAAATTTGAAATCACCTTACGGCGACACCCAATGGTAACCATTTCAGGCAATGTCTCTTGTCACTTTGGTATAATCCTCTCCGGTTAATTTCTAGCCAACTTCTACCTCGTTGGGATGACCTTATGTCTTTAGTTCTATAGTTCTGAGTCACTATCTACAAACCTTTGTGATAGACCGTCTCTACTTAAAGAAAATGTGTGGCTGAGCTATATCTCACATTATGCATGGGCCACAGTTTATCCTGAGGGTTCCCTTCTTCAGTCAGATCATTTCTAAATACCTTGCCCTGCTGAAAAAAAAAGTATTTTTAGATATATGAAAGTTTTAGAGTTATTTTTTTTCTGTTGATTATTTAGCCAGGTGAAATTCCAAGAATTAGAGAAGTGGAGGCAATAAAGACATTTTGTAAAATTCATCATTCTGGTTGTTATAGTTGCAGTTGTCATTTATGGATTGATAGACAAATGTTTGTAATTATTTACATGATTATCAATGAGGTTACACATCTCTCAAAGGGTTAATGGGCCACGAGTATTTCTGTTTTAAGATTTGCTTCTTTACAAACTTTATTCGTTTTGGGGACTAGAATTGAGATCTTTTTCTTAAGCATTTTAAATACTTTGTCCAACTCATGACTTCATTTTTATGTTTCTGTAATGATGTATTGACTTCCAGATACTAGCGATTTTCTTAATTCAAAATCTCATCCTTTTTTAACCTTTTTTCTCACATTATGAATTGAAAGCACTTCTCAAACTAGAAGTCATAAAAGTGGATATTCACCTTTTATAATCATTGTTTTCATTTTTGGGTTAATCTCTTATAATTTATACTAAGTATATCTCATTAACAACCTGCCTTCAGTCATCGATATTAGGCAGCTGTCTCAATCTTCCTTTCAGAAAGTGTAATCATCTCTGTGGCCGATACCAACCCCTTGGATGTCAGCTGCTGTGACTTCAGATCTAAGTTTGCATCGGAAGTCCCTGTTTTGATCAGCTCACAGCATCCTTGTTTTGCTGTTTTGTTTTGTTCTGGAAAAGTCTAAACACCTACCAAAGCATAGGGGATTGAGTCTGTAAGCCCAGTGCACAGTACCACACACAGACTCAAGAACTCCCTGTGTCATCTGTGAGCTTCCGCAACCTCACATTTATTTTAATGGAACAAATCAAAACATCACATCATACCTTTTCTAAATGATCCGCACATTTCCTTTTTTCTTAACAAGAGTGTGTCTTGTAGTTCAGGGTTCAGGCACCTGTGAAGCCAGCATCATATCAGAGTACCTGATTTGAAACCCAGCCACTCTGCTTCTGATCCAACTTCCTGCTAATGTACCCAGAGGACAGTAGATGATGGTTCAAATATTTGGGTCCCTGCAACTCATGTGGGAGACTCAAATGGAGTTTGGTGATTTGGGTTTTTCCTGGCCATGCACAAGCTGATATAGGCAGCTAGGGAGTGAATCAGTAAATGGAAACTTTTGCTCTCTACTCCTTTCTCCATCACTATGTTTTGCAAATAAATACATAAGTAAATAAATTTTCTTTTACATATTATATTTTTAAATTTATCAAATATACAAATCCATAATCAATTTCCCTGAGCCTTAAATTTTCTTAGCACTTTTTATCCAAGCGTATTTATTTATTTTTGTAAGATTTATTTTATTTTTATTGGAAAGGCAGATTACAGAGAGGAGAGACAGAGAGGAAGATCTTCTGTCCAATGGTTCATTCCCCAAGCAGCCTCAATGGCTGGAGCTGAGCCAATCCGAAGCCAGGAGCCTCTTCCAGGTCTCCCACGCAGGTGCAGGGTCCCAAGGCTTTGGGCCGTCCTTGACTGTTTTTCCAGGCCACAAGCAGGGAGCTGGATGGGAAGTAGAGCTGCCGGGATTAGAACAGGTACCCATATGGGAATCCCGGCATGTTCAGGGGGAGGACTTTAACCACTACACTATCACACCAGGCCCCAAGTGTACTTATTTTTAATAATGTTTATTTGTTCAAATTTAGGTTCAGGATCCTCATGAGTTGGTCTGATCAGACAGCTCTGTCATTCTGACACAGTCAGATCCACCTGGCGTAGGTTGTGCCCTACTGACCTGCTCTGGAGCCGATCATTTCTCTAAGGTTTTGATTGCAAATGCTCCTCCAAGATTACAGTGATCTCCCATACCTGGAGTAACAAATGACCAGGTCAGCCTAGGTCCCTGCTTACAATCCAGTAGATTATAAGTACCAGGGTGATTTTTTTTTTTTTTGTACAGGATGATTTCAAATTTTCTTAGTTCAACCCCATTTATTACAAAGAGCCTATGGATTTTGGAATCAGCAAAATAAACACCTACTCGTTATAAAATCTGATTGTCTTTCATCATCAGTGGGCAGATGCTGCTTCTAATCCATCCTCTCCATTAGAAAGATTCAAATTCCTTCAGGGATGCTGGTGCCTCTCCTTTGGCAAAGCCAAAAAGCCAATTGCTTTAGTTAGTTAGTATGTTAGAGTTACACAGGCTCAGGGATTTCCCCTCAATCCCATTGCCCCTTCACCTGCTGATTCCCCTATATTATTGTAATAGTATAGTCCCTCAAAAAACAGTTATAAGTCCATCATTTTGCTATTTTTTTGTATTTTTGTATTTTGCATGAAGGTTGCCATATAGCAGAAAGAACATATAGTATTTGTCCTGTTTGTATTGCTTTATCTCATTGAGTATAGTGAACTCTATTTGGAATAATTTCATTGCAAATGGTGAAATTTCATTCTGTTTAATGGCTAGATCGTACTCTATTTAATGGCAAGATAGACAGTACTTCATAGATAATTTATCCACCCCTTTTTTGTACAGGCATCTGGGTTGTTTCCATGTTTTCACTATTGTGGATTGTGCTGCTGTAACTACAGAATTATAGGTCACTTTCTCATATGCAGGTTTCATTTCCTTTGGATATATTTCCAGAAGTGGGATATCTGGATATTATAGTAAATGAATTTTAAGGTCTCTTAGCACTCTCCATACTGATTTCCATAGTGGTTACACTAGCCTACACTCCCACCAACAGTGAAGGAGGGCACCTTTCTCCGCGCATCCATGCCAGCAGGTGTTGGTAATAGAGTTCTGAATGTAGACCAGTCTCACCTGAGTTAGGTGGAACCTCAATGTGATTTTTTTATTTGTATTTCCCTGATATCTAGGAAGCCTGAGCTATTAGTCATTTGGATTTGTTCTTTTGGAAAATGTCTGTTCATTTCCCTCACCCATTTCTTCACAGAGTAGTTTGTTTTGCTGTCATGTAGTTCTGAAGCTCTTTATAAACCCTGTTGTGTAGCGTGCAATGATTTTCTCACATTCTGTTGGTTGCTTCTTCACTTTGTTGATCATTTCATTTGCTCCTTAGTTTGATGTAGTTCCATTGGTTTATTTTGACACCCTATGCTTTAGGTGACTTTTCTAAGAAGTCTTTCTCAATTCCTATGTCTTGGAAAGTGCTTCTTATTTTTTTTTCCTTCTAATAGGTTTATAGTTTCTGGGTGCAGATTTAGGTCTTTCTGATCTATGTAGGACTGATTTTTGTATAAGGTGAGATATGAAGGTCTTGCATCTTATTTCTGAAGGCTGCTATCCAGTTCTCCCAACAGCATTTGTTAAGATCAGATTTTCCCTGGATTATTTTCAAGTTATCTTGTTAATGAGTTGGTTGCACATATGTGGGCTGCCTTATGGGGTTTCTGTTTTGTTACATTGATCTCGTTTCTGTACCAGCACCAGACTGTTTTGATCACCACTGCCTTGCAGTACGTCTTGAGATCTGTAATTGTGATTTCTCCAGCTTGGTTTCTGTTCTTCAGGATAGCTTTGCCTATTTGTGCTCTTGTGTTTCCAGATGAACTTTTGCATCATTTTTTCTATTTTTGAAAAGAATGTTGTTGGGATTTTGGTTGACATCACAATGACTTTGTATATTACTTCAGTAACATGGACATTTTGATGATGTTGATCCTGCTCATCCAGGAACATCGTAAATTTCTCCATCTTTAAATGTCTTCTTTTATTTCTTTTCTTTTCTTTTTTTGTAAAGATTTATTTTACTTTTTGTTGGAAAGGCAGATATACAGAGAGGAGAGACAGAGAGGAAGATCTTCCATCTGATGATTCACTCCCCAAGTGAGCGCAACGGCCAATACTATGCCGCCGATCCGAAGCCAGGAGCCTCTTCCGCGTCTCCCACGGGGGTGCAGGGTCCCAAAGCTCTGGGCCGTCCTCGACTGCTTTCTGGGGCCACAGGCAGGGAGCTGGATGGGAAGTGGGACCGCTGGGATTAGAACTGGCGCCCATATGGGATCCTGGGCGTGCAAGGCGAGGACCTTAACCACTTGTGCCACCGTGCCGGGCCCTCTTTCTTTTCTTTTTTTTTTTTTTTTAATGTTTTGTAATTTTCATCATAGAGGTTTTTCACATCTTGGTTAGGTTATTTCCAATGTGTTTAAGATTCCACTATTTTAAAAGGAAGTACATTTACAAGTTCTTTCTTAAAAGTTATTTCTCAGCCATGGAGTTTTTTGGTGTATGCTGGGGCCGTGGATTTATGCTCATTAATTTTGTATCCTACTACCCTACCAGATTCTCTTAGGAGTTCCAATACTCTGCTGGAGACCAGCTTCAGCTGAGTTCGGAACTCAAGAAGGGTGTGTGGAACAGGCATAGAAAGAAAAGAAACGGACCACTACAATTTCAGGATCGTAATGGACAATGCGAGAAAGCTGTCCGCTTTATTTATACAGAAGCAGTCACCAGCTCTGGCACAGACCTTTTACATCATGGTGTTGCATCCACTCGACTGCAGAGTGTGGGCCCCGAACATTACAATTACAAAGTTTTCTTTAGGGGCAATTTGACATAGCTTCAAGGGGGGCACAATTTACAACAGGTGAGTGAGGAAGGATTATAGCATTTTTTGCTTATCTCAGCTTGCCAGCCCCTGCCTGCTCTGCTCAGGCATGGACTCCAACCTTGGCACCACCTATGACAACTAGACCCCAATCTTGAATTATCTATGGGTTAATAAGCCTGGGGCCTTGATTTATGGATATTGGGGTCATTGGCACTAGTTGGCCTGCAAGCTCACACTGTTTGTTAGCCAAGCAAGTAAAGCAGGAGTTACAAAGGCGAAAAGAAATGCAGTTAGCAATGAGCCATGTCTAATCCATTTTGATTTTAGCTCTACAATGGACAAGTGGGTGTTTCCAAGGATAATTCTGCCAGTTGTTTCTCATTAAGTCAGGGCATTATTCATTCTGAAGTTGTAGCCAGGAATTGCTCAGTAGGCAACACATAGTAATCAATATTACACTCCTACTACAATTCTCATTCTACAACTTATCAGTTAGAGGACAGAAAATATTACAGAGGGGAAAAGATAAAGATAAGAAACAGAAAAAGTACAAACATAAATTCCCATTACAACTACAGACTCAATAACCCTAAATTAGTTTGAAAACATGTATTACAATGTTAGTACAGACATTCTTGAGCTCTTCCAGCCAAAGGGCCATAAAAGCAACCCAGACAGCTTACATTGTTAAAGGTCCGTTCACCAGGACAAGATGTTATCAGCAACATTAACTTTCAAGCTCACAATGGTTATAAAAACCATCTCACAGGGGCAAACAACAATGCCTCAATAGATTACAGAATTCTTAGCGGGGTGGTCGAGTGTCCTTGCCAAGGGAGATGGAATTGCATTAAGGTGGTTACTGAAAGCTCCCCCGGGCTCTGCCACACAGGGGAGCTGTTCTCCTCACACCTTCCTGTCATCCATACCTACTGCATGGACTCCAGCAACTCTCCTGATTGAACCTTTTGGTTCTCTTATGTAGAGAATCATGTCATCTGCAAAAAGGGATAATTTTAATTCCTCAGTGCCAATTTGAAGTTTTTTGATTTCTTCTTCTTGCCTAATAGCTCTGACAAGGACTTCTAATACTATATTGAATAGCAATAGTGAGAATGGACATCCTTGTCTACTTCTAGATTTTTGTGGAAAGCTTCCAGTCCATCCCGTTTAGTATGACTTGGATTTTCTGTGTATTGCTTTGATTATGTTGCAGAATGTTCTTTCTGTGCCTATCTTGTTTGCACTTTTTAGCATGAAGTGTTGGATCTTATCAAATGCCTTTCCCGCATCTATTGAGATGATCATATATTTTTTTATTTTTCAATTTTTGATGTGGTGTATCCCCTTTATTGATTTTCAAATGTAAAACCATCCCTACATGCCAGCGAGAAATCCTACCATGTTCAGGTAAATTATCCCTCCGGTGTAGCGCTGGATTCTGTTGGCTGGCATTTTGTTGAGGATTTTTGTCTTTATGTTCATCGGAGATATTGGTCTGTAGTTTTCTTTTTCTGTTGTGTTTTATCTGGCTTTGGTGTTAAGGTGATTTGGGCTTCATAGAAACAGTTTAAAAGGATTGCCTTCCCTCCTACTATTTGGAATAATTGTAGAAGATTGGGGTAAGTTCTTGAAACATTTGGTAGAATTCTGCAATTAAGCCATCTAGTCCTGGGCTTCTCTTGGTTGGGAAGAGATTTAATTACTAATTTGATTCCACTCATTGTTATAGGTCTATTTAGATTATTAATTGCCTCATGATTCGACTTTGGTAGATTGCGTGTGTTAAAAAAAAGCTATCCATTTTTCTAGTTCTTCTGATGTGTTGTTGTATGATTGCTTGTTCCTTATTAATTTATGCATGCCCTTGGATTCTATCATTATATTTCCTTTTTTTGTCTTTGATCCTATTGATCTCTATCTCTGCCTCCTTTTTCTTATTAATCGGGATAGTAGGGGATATATTTTGTTATTACATATGATCAAGAATCAAAGAGCTGGTACTTTGGGACAGCTTATTGCTTTTTTTTTTCCATGACCCCTTCATAATTGCAAAGATTCAAAATTCTGTCTTAAAAGGCAGAGAGTCAGAAAAAAGATCTGCTGTTCACCATCCACTCCCTCAAATGCCTGAAATAGCTGAGATTAGGCCAGGCTGAACCAGAAGCAAGGAACTTCATCCAGATCCAGTTGGCAGGGACCCAACTAATTGAGCTCAGCGTCTACCACCCAAGCCATACGTTAGCAAGAAGCAGGAATGGAGCTGGGACTTGAATCCAGACCCTCTGATAAAAATGCCAACATGTCCAGAAGCGCATCAACTCCCAGCCAAGCACCTGCCCCAGCTATATTTTTTTCATCTCCTAATTTCCAGATCCCAGAGATTATTTTTTATTTTAATTTTTATTCAGACTTAACTAAACTGCTAAAAAGAATTTTGTTGTATTATATTCAGCATTTCTAAACATTTTCCACCATTCTTTTCCCAAAATGAGAATCTTAGTCCTTTTTCTACTTTTTTTCTTGTTTGGTGATCAAAATATTTAAAACTCTGTTCCCTTCTCTGAGAATGACTCTGAAGAGATTTTATGCAATTGACTTTATTAGTGATATGTGCTTATTACTTTAAGAGAATTTAATTGCCACATTGTGGGATGTTGGCTAAATATTCATTATTAATTTCTATTTTCATTGCATTGCTACTTAATATGTGCAACTAAATATATCCAGATTTTACAGCAAGTCTGTGAATGTTTGCAAAGAATTTACGATCTTTATATGATAAAAACTGAAATATAACTAGTGTCACCTCCATTTTTCCTGTTCATTAACTTTACAACTATTTCCTTTTAGCTTCTTCCAGGGTTCGGCTTCTTTTACTTCCCTTGTAATTTGCAGGATTATGGATAGAATGTAATGTAAATTTAAAATTACCTCTAAAATTTTAGAACCTGACCCCAAAATCAAGGTAATCTCTTATCTTCTCCATATACTTAGGTGGTCAAGACATTTTTATGACAGAAGAGCAGAAGAAATATTATAATGCCATGAAAAAATTAGGAACCAAAAAGCCTCAAAAACCCATTCCGAGACCTCTGGTGAGAGCAACTGAATGTTTCTGAAAACAAAACTGCATGGGTGATTATTAAGAACTCAGATTTCTGCCATGCCACTCTCCAGTAACTTTTAAGTTTACAAACATCAAGATCGCACAAAATCCCTAATGTGTTTCTATCCTCAGATGTTCAGATTCAATAGTAGCAGCCGAGGCAACCACTGAAATGTCATTTGTAGTGTGCTCGCAGTAGGTGGTTGGTAGACTCATCACAATAACACAGACTTAACAGTTTAAGTTGAATCTCAATCAGTTTGAAAAGTATTCCTAATATCCTTCACCAGGTTTTGTTTGGTGTAAGAGGTTGAATTTATGCATATGCAATTCATCCTTACAAATGTTTACGATAAACTGAATTCGGTATTGACAAATTTCTCCTTTGTAGAATCAGAAAGCAAATCTTCCCATAGGCTTAGATATAGCCTCAACATCACGGTGAGGAACAAAAGGAACCATAGAGAATAAAGAGCCGATGAATGTGGCTGTTTAGAGAGGGGGAGAGTGATTTCCTGTCACTCATGTGCCATAACATTGTCTTCATCTTTTGCATTTCAAAATAAGAACTAACCCTGTGAGCATGAGCTGTACCATAGCAGGTCACTGGCTGCATTTGTCCAGTGGGTCATGGTTTGCTGATCTCAGGTCATTCAGGGCAAAATAGGATCAACACGAGGCTAGAAACTGGCAGTCCAATTGTAAGGCTGGGGGACTGTATACCCATTTGAAAGGCTGAGATTAGAAAGCACAGATTGAATTTGAACATCTAAAATCCTAAGGCATGACACAAAATGTTCCTACACCTTTGCCAGTTTATTTCAATGTGTGAATGAACAAAAGTTACAATACACGGTCAAAGCCTGGTCCCTCCACTGTCCCAGCCTTGTTTGTCTGCCAGAAATGACATCAAGTCACAACCCTTCTGTGTAACTACAGCTCACCAATCATTCCTATAACCGCTGCTCATTTGTCTTGGCTTCTGTATTCCAGAGAGAGTATTACAGGACATCATTTCAACACTTTATCACCTGACATTCATACGTTTGAACTAAGACTTCAAGTCAGTCCATTACACACAGCTCTTGACTCTGAATATGATTTTTTTTGACTTTTGTAATAATTTAATAGCAACCAAAAAGGGAGAAAAACCCAGCTGTTTTTTAACCAGAGCACTCATACATTTCATTTCCAGCCATAAAGGGATTTAGCCATAAGGGATTTAGAATAATTTCTTCTTTCTCTTGATGTGTCCCCACAGGGCAACTTTCTTGCTGGGTTTTAAATCATACTGAAACATAAGAGTAACTGTACATTTTAGAGTCACATAAAATGCTTTTTGATCATTCACTACTTTTGATAATTTTATACTTCTAATCCCCATTTGCCTCAATGGTGCCGTTAACTATAAAGCCACCCACACTTATCACCCCTTACTCTACCTCCTATATGAGTTCCCAAATGCTTCCTCACGTAAGCGGTGCACTTGACCTTCAAGTGTCTTCTCCAGATTTCTTAATAAAAGCCTCAGGGATCCCAGCACATGATCTAAAAACCCTGACTTGAATACAGTCCCTGCCCTGTGTCCAACCATTGCCCCAACTCTTCCTGAATTCACCGTCATGGTTTTAATTCATATTAGTATTAATACCACTGAAATCCACCTGTCATTCCAACTTCTGCTCTAGGCCCTTGGATAACCTCCTGGTAACCAAAACTGAATCTGTTCAGGCCAGATCTGATGAACTACCTCTAAAATCTCTCATCTTCTGGTCTCAGACTGATAACCTCAGTATCAATTTTCCTACAGCCCTCACATACAATCACGCTCATTGTGTTTCCTTCTGCCTGCCTATTAGCTCTACCACCATTATTCTACGGCTTTATCTCCTGTTATCCCCGTGAGTCAGCACCATCTGTTGCCTGGGTTACCAAAGCAGGTCCTTGACGGTTGAAAGATGAATTCTTAAGGTTCCATAAATTTTCTACATAGAACAGTGTGTGCACACTTTGATTAGAAGATAGTATAATATAAAATAACCCAATACACGTTTATACTTCTAATCCCTATTTGCCTCAGACAACTAATTTATAGTAAGGAATGCCATATGCTTTAAATGTCTGAGTTTGTGTTCAGGAACAGCATTTCACTGAGTGATGATTCACAGCCATTATATTCAGGAAAATCATGAAACAATCTAGTCATTTCACCACACATGACAGATTAGACTCACAAAATCAAATTAGAACTTATATCACAACAATTAGAGAGCAGTATACTTACCTATATAGAAATCAATTCCATCAATAATAATATCAAAGAATGAGATTTTTTTGTTCCCCTTTTTAATAATCATTGAATAAAATCCCATTTAAAGTGAACAAAAGTTAGAAATGTGGCAATAAAGATTTGCTTGAATAGAAGAATTTTGATTAAGCATAAACTCTGTCGATCTGACCTGGCAAACAGACCCTGAGGGACATTAAATCCAATTTGCCAAACATCTGAGTGTGACCAAGTATTCTCTGTACTAACATGATTGCAACAGCGATATATAAGCAGATAAAATACAGTGACCAAGTTTCATCATTTTTATTATTGAATCCAACATGAGCTGTTTTAATCCAGCAAAACAACATCATCAATCACATCATATATAACTTGTTACTAAGACTTTTTAAAAACATTTTTGCTTAAAGTGAGATTAAATCTGCATATCTAAGCACTTGATGCCAGTTAACATATTAAATAGGAGCTGTACAACAACTTCTGGGTCTATAAAAGCCTCTTGCCCTTCAGAAAGGATGTGTGCATTTTCCTTCAAAAAAGATGTGTGCTTTGATCAGGAGAGAAACCAAACTTTATTTTCTTGATGTACATGGCATCAATGTACATGGCATCATTTTCACAACTCAACACGATCTATTATTTATTGCTACCATAAAATTCTATTATTTTGATCATGTTTACATAGTTAAGAAGGATGGATGCCCTTTGAATCACTGATTAGGGTAAAGAGCGTTGAGGATTAGAAGAAAGTGGATGAGACAACTTTTTCCAATCTCCCTTTGTTTTCCCCCTGTATCTGGAGAAAGTGGGACGGAAAGGGAGAGGACTGCTCCCAGCAGCCCAACCATATTAGAACCTAGAAATGGGAGCCAGTCAACAGATGTCATCCCAGGGTCCACTCTGTAAGGCATGTTCTGATGGTATTGCTTAAGTGGTTTTTGTAGTTCTGAGACATTGTTGATTATGTTGCTCCAAGGTTGAGGAAATCCTTCCAAGTTTCATCAGTTGACCTCAGAGTATCCACTTGTCCACAAACTCACTGTTAAAGTTTGGCCAATACAGCTGTTATTCCTACAACTAAAAATGATCTATTATTTCTTTTATGTCTCCTCAGAACAAATGCCAAGGTGTTGTGTTCGACTTAGTCACAAGCCAAGTGTTTGATATCATCATCGTCATTCTCATTATGCTAAACATGGTTAGCATGATGGTGGAGACAGCTGACCAGACCGATTCTATGGCATCCATCCTGGAGTATCTCAATGTAGCCTTTGTGGTCATTTTCACAGTAGAATGTCTCATCAAAATCTTTGCCTTGAGACAATACTACTTCACCAGTGGCTGGAATTTATTTGATTGTGTGGTCGTGGTTCTGTCCATTGTTAGTAAGTAAAAAAAATCACAGCTTGGGGAACTTTAAACTGACCTCCAGAAGTAAAGTTGGAAATATTAGAATTTGGAAGTATTTCCAAACTGTTCACAAAGCAATAAATGTGGATTTAGGTGGTTCCAGAAAAAGAAAAAAAAAAAAATAGATAGATGTACCAATGCCTTTCTTTGCTAGGGAGTTGTCAGGAATTAGAGAATAATTTCCATTCCTTTGACTATATGCAACTTTGGAATAGAGTTAATTAGGTGGATAACTTATTCAATGGAGCCAGGCAAAATTCAGATAAACTTGGTAGGTTTTTGTGGTTTAATATGACTTACAAAGGTTATGGAGCCAGTTCTACCCGTCCTCTGCAACTATAACCCCTAAAGTCTATTTTAAAGTTTTAAGGATTTGCATTTAGTGATGTTTTCTCTCTCACTTTGAAATCCTCATGGATGCCAGATCCAGTTGCTGTTTCCCTGTAGCACTGGTGTGCCTACCTCAACTGCTATAAAAGACCCATGGCCCACCTGAGTCTATATGTCCAACATTATATCATATAGGCCAGCAGTGCTTTCTGTTTATTTGTGTCCCATGTCAACTTAAACCACGTCACGAACTATGCTTCTCTTGACTACTCTGATCTCACTCATCAATTATCCCCTATATATAATCAGTATATTTTTCCCAATCATAGGTAAGATGATTGACGGGTTTATGAAAGGAAAAATAGAAAAGAAGGATGGCTATTGTCAGGTTTCTTTTACTAAAACACACACATAAATCATCTGTGAAATTAAATTCTTTATGGCTGAGCCATAAGAATTTATTCTGGGTTTTTAAACTCTTGTTTTATCCAAAACATTAATTGGACTTTTCATAATTGCAAAAAGCTCCCATGAGCCCTTCTCACAGTTCAAAAAGCCACAAAGACAAGGAAAAGCAATTTCCCACCCTGAAGTTTCTGTGCGGTCTCAGAAGGAGTATACCAAAAAGATAGGCTAGATCAAAATATTTTGGCTCCTTCTGCCACTACAACTATGCAGATGTTCCAGAGAACAAAGAAGTGTTATAGCTTTGGATCATCTCTGGTTCCTGGGCCATGAGGATCATGTAGATACAGTTTACCAGTAGATCCTTCCACATATTTATAGTTGAGTAGACTGTAACCCATATCACTTAATTTCCAAACACATATACTGATGAAATGGACAGCCCCTATGACAGCCCAAAGAGCTGTTCCTTTGAATAGACCAAAAGGAGCTCATTTATTCCACAGCTCTTTCCTGGAAATACCAGAAATCACACAGTTTGTGGAAACATCTCTGACTATCCTCTGAACAAATGCTAGGCAATGGCAGCTACAAATGCTGTGCATGGCATTTTTCTCTGATGAATGAGACAAAGAGCACATGAGGCAGAATCCTACTCACCAGTGTGGGCAGAATTCTGATGCCTTTGCCAGTCTGACTGCCATCCCACGCTTAGTCTTGCCACTCCTACAGGCTCCTTCTAAAGCTTCAGAGTAGTACAAAATGCTGTGAGTTGCAGTGAATCTTCTCTTGGAGTTCAGAATACTGTCGAAGTATAACAACTTTAACTGTCAGAAAAAGAAATTCACTGAATGCCAAATCACATGGAAACAGAGAGCAATGAAGCTCAGGGAAATGATAGATCATCGTGGGCTTGATTAGCCAGACACATCTCCAAGAATGTGGGTCTTACAGGATAGATGCTGCTGAACTGCCAGGGGTGGCTGCTCCATTAGCATAGTGGTACAACTCAGCTGTTAGTGAGACATCATCAACTGATCATCTTTAGTCACTAGGTGACTAAAATGCAAGAGCATTGTAACTGCCATGACTCTTCATGACCACAGAGGATCACCGCAGTAAGAACAAAGAATGCCATGTCCACACAAGACAAGCATGTGCCAGCTGTCTTACCATATTTGTCCCCAAATCTGAGTTGCATTAAGTCCTTGTATTCAGGGAGAATTTTTAGGGCAACTATTCAGGTGTTGGCACAAAGTTCAACTGAAGCTTCTATTTATAGGGAATCTGCAACAACAGAGAGAGGGTCTCCCCATTTTTGTCAGTTTTGGCACTTGACACTTCTTGGGATGTATATGGTTGATAATTATGAGACTTGTGGACCTCAGCCAAAGATGAGCACCCATGTGGCTGCCCTGCCTGCCCAGCCCTACACACGTGGTTGTTCTTGTGATAGATAAATTGTCCTTTCCCACCTCGGACTGTCTTCAGACTTCTTCACTAACACAAAATTTAAAAGGGTTTAAGGAACTTTAAAGTCAGGGGCTCGCGATTTCCACTGGCAGCTCAGGTTGAGCCAGCATTCACCGGAAGTCTCTCTTTTTAGTCTAATCTAAGAGATTCAGAACCTAGTGTTTCAATTGTTTGTCATATTACGTGTGGATATGGATAGCTTTGTGTTTGTTTCACATAAGTGACTTTTAAAACCCAACATAGATAACTACCTCCAAGTTCATCAGACAGTTATCCCAACAGCCTTTCAGACACCATATTCCTGTTGCTGATGGATTTTAATATTTTAGACATCTTATCCCATCTAAAGTTCCACCTAAAACTGGATGGAAATTATTTTCCAAGTTAAAGCACAGATAAAGTCTCCCTTGAATTTGGCAATGAAAATCGCCACATTTGAGCACAGATGACTGGCTGGTTATTGGTGGGCGGTTGGTCCTGCTGGGATTCTGAGGAGGGTGACAGGCTTGAGGCCAGTGGGCCTGGCAGGAGTGCTCTGACAGTAACCCTTCTTCTCCTAAGGTGCCATGATTTCTGGTTTGGAGAAACAGAAACACATCCCTTTCCCCCCGACGCTCTTCAGAGTCATCCGCTTGGTCCGGATTGGCCGCATCCTGAGACTGGTACGGGCGGCTCGTGGAATCAGGACTCTCCTTTTCGCGTTGATGATGTCACTCCCTTCTCTTTTCAACATCGGCCTGCTCCTTTTCTTGGTCATGTTCATCTATGCTATATTAGGCATGAATTTCTTTTCTGAAGTGAGCCCACAGTCTGGAATCGATGACATACTGAATTTCAAGACTTTCGTCAAAAGCATGCTGTGTCTTTTCCAGATAACTACATCAGCAGGTTGGGACTCTTTGCTCAGCCCCATGCTGAAAAGGGAAAACTCCGCAAAGAACCGCCACCTTCCGGCAATAGCCATCTCCTACTTTGTCAGTTACATCATCATTTCCTTTCTCATTGTTGTCAACATGTATATTGCTGTGATCTTGGAGAACTTTAACACAGCCACTGAAGAAAGTGAGGAACCCTTGGGTGATGATGACTTTGAAATATTCTATGAAGTGTGGGAAAAGTTTGACCCAGAGGCAACACAGTTTATTGAATATTCTGCACTTTCTGATTTTGCTGATGCCCTTCCAGAGCCTTTGCGGGTGGCAAAGCCAAACAAATTTCAGTTCTTAGTAATGGACCTGCCCATGGTGAGTGGAGATCGTTTGCACTGCATGGATATTCTTTTTGCTTTCACCACGAGGGTCCTCGGTGACTCCAGTTATCTGGACAGCATGAAAGTCATGATGGAAGAGAAGTTCATGGAAGCAAATCCTTTCAAGAAGTTATATGAGCCAATAATCACCACCACCAAGAGGAAGGAAGAGGAGAGAGGTGCTGCCATTATTCAAAAGGCCTTTCGAAAGTACATGACCAAGATGACAAAAGGTACCTCGGAAGACAGACCTCCTCCACCACTCCAAATGCTGTGCAATGGAGAATTGCCCAGTGTTGAGGTAGCTAAAGGCAAGGCCCACTATGACTGAGCCACTCTCCTCTGTCCCCTACCTCACAGCCTTGCTTCTAGCCTCTGAGCTTCATGGGTCTACAGCTCAATGAGTGAACAAGCAGCAGACTTGGAAAACTAGTCATTCCGTGTTTTTCTGGGTTGTTTTAAGTGATATTTTAACACTCACTTTAAGTCATTTCTGCTGAGATCTAAAATAAAGCTGCCTGACTTTTGACTACCACTTCAACAAAAAGAATAGACGACACACTATTGTTAGGATTGAAGTAGTGTTCAAACTCATCAAAACAAAATAATAGCGGAAAACACACTAAATTTTTAGATTGTCCTTTTACATTGGTTTCCAGGCACATTATTCAGCACCTTTGATTGTTTTAACCAATGGAAAAACGTGTTTTATCACAGCTCTTTTGCATGCAAAATGAAAGCTCAAAAATTCCAATAAACAAATAACTTATTGCAGATACGTTTATCAACATTAACTCTTTTGAGTTTGTTTAAATATGAAAATATTACATTGACTTGTCCACTCTTTTCTTTCATAACCTACAATAAAGATATGGAAATTTGAAAAGTAGGGGGCTGACTTTGCGGTACAGTAAGATAAGCTGCCACCTGCAATGTTGGCATCCCATGTGAATGCTAGTTTGAGTCCCAGCTGATTCACTTCCAAGGGTTCTTGTTACTATGTGGAAGTACTGGATGGAGTTTTAGGTTCCTGGCTTCAGCCTGATCCAGTCCTGGTTGTTGATGACGTTTAGAGAATGAACCAGTGAGTAGACAATCTCTCCTATTCTTCCCTTTCCCTATAAATTTGTCATTCAAATAGACGCATCTTTTTTTTTAAAGGAAAATATAAATTTGAAAAATAAATTTTCAATTTTAATTTCTTTCAGATAGCTTATTAATATTTCTGTCTTGTTCTATGGTTGTTTCAGTAGGAACTCAATGGTATTTTTTGCTTAAAATTCAGTGCTGGATCCAACAGTGTACCTGTCAGCTGTTTAACAATTGGTTCTTCAGGACAAAAACAGTCTTGTTTTGTAGCACCTTTTGAGTTCTGTGATGTGAATATTTCCATCATGACTGATTTCAAACTGATTTCACCCTCTTATTGGACAAGGGACTGGGGAGAGATGCTCAGGATGATTTCTGAAAAGCTAGCCTTGGCAAGTTGCAGTACAGCACTTGAAACTCATTGTTGTACAGTGTGTTATGGCAAGGTCTGCAGTGCTGGCATCTATATGGATGCCAGTTCAATTCCCAGCTGCTCTTACAATTCACCACAAGTACTTGACTACCTGCCATCCACATGGGAAACCCGGATGGACTTCAAGGCTCCTGACTTGAGCCTGATTCAGCCCTGGCCACTGCAGTCATGGAAGCCATTTTGGGATTGAAGTAAATCTGTCCCTTTTTTGTATATAATGCTGCTTTTCAAATAAATAAATAAAGCTTTAAAATAAGACAAAAAGGAAAGAGATCCTCATAGAGGACGCTGGATGGAGACAACACTATTAGCCACGCCTGGACCACTAGGTTGGGGAATTAACCAGGTGATCTTAGCGATTTGTTCAGTCTGGTGTTCAATGCAACCCAGAGAAAAACCTAAGCCCATCAAAAGAGTTGAATACCAAGAGTAGTCTGGTCCTTCTGCAGAAACTGTAGATGACCAGTGGCTACTCATTCCCAAAATGGCTGGGCTGGGGAGCAAAGAACCTGCACTGTGATCATCTAGGTGAAGAGGAAAGCTTCAGAGAAGTATCCTTGGAATTCTATGCCTCACACAGGTAGGAAGAGCTGATGCGTCAATCAGTAGCAGCCCAAAGTCAAGGCTTTGATGCTCAGGCCTCCCCATCCCCACAACCACCATATGGCAGGAGGAAAAACAGCATGACACCTGAGCGGGTGGCGGACAGGGGCAAGGCATTCCTTGCCAATGTGTACAAAATCCAAGCATGACTTGATGTATTCATAAGTAAGACCTAAACTTTCCAAGTTTCGTAGATAGCCTGTGTCTGCAACACTGATAAAAACCACTCGTGTCATCAATAGCTGGTGTTCATTTGGCAGCTACTGGGCTTCAGGCACCAGCAAAGCATTTATTATGAATAATCTCATTTGTACCTCTTAACTACCCAATGGTGAAAGGATGTCCCATTTAAAAAGGAAAAAAAAAAATGGAGAGGCTGGGTGACACACAGTTATGCGCCCTATAGAGCATGAGCCTTTGTGCCCTGCTGGGGAAGGGGAACAGGTGGTTTCAGGAACAAAAGAAGAAAAAATTGGGATGGGGGATGCTCCTGTACAAAACTGTGAGGGCCATGTGAAAACATCAGTCTTGCAATTGTCGCCAAAGTCTCTTGGAACACTGAGAAGGGCTTCTGGCTCTCCGAAAGGAAGCCCCCGATTACGAAGTGTTTATAGACCCCTACCAATTCTTCTGAAAAGGCAACCGATCATTCCAGCAGGGGTATTCCTAGGCTTGGGGTGCCGATCCCACACTACATGGGGCTTGAATAGGATCTGCTCAACGCATAAATGCTGGTTCCTCCCCACATCCACCCATGCACCCTCACACAGTGTGGTGTGGCCAGATTGAAATCCTAGAGCGGTTGAACCACACTTCCTTCACTAGATGGCAGCAAAGGTCCAACATGCCCTTGACTGAGCGCTCTGTGGCACCCACCTGTGTGAGCCCTGAAGGAGGACAGCCATGGCAGAAAGTGGTAAGTCATCCACACCCTGCAGGGGTGTAAGGAAGCCCAAACTCACCAAAGGGCCTTGCCACTGGGCAAGCATTAAATATACTCCCAAAAGGCAGGGCCTTGGGTGTGAGCTCTGTTATGCTGGGGCCACACTTAATGCCCCTAGCTAACAGCCCTATAGGCACATGAAGAGAGTATCTTGCTTTCTCTTCTGGTAAATCAGACCCTGCTCCTTGGAGCAATGTGATACAATCTTTCAGGAACTACTTCTAGCCAATGGATACGTTTTCACAAAGCATTACAACCACTGCCATAGGGACATCTCTCTGTGCTGAAAAGTCACATCTACCAAGAGGATTCATGAGAAAGGGGCATTTGAGTCAAACCTGAAAGATGTGTGGAATTTAGACAGGTGAAAGTAGTTGAGCATAGTTGAGGCAAAGGAATTTGCACAGGTAGCATCATGTAGGCAGGAAGCTAAAGATGTGAAGAAGTTTGAGTTGATGGATTGACTGCACATCAAGTGTGAATAGAGAAGTGGCAAGGACTGAATATTCGCAAGACTTTTTGTGAAGAGCCTCAAACATCAGCATGAAAAATTATACTATACATGATGCCAGGGAAGCATGGCAGGTGCTGGGGTCTAGGAGAACAGCTAACTACAAAAGGTGTGCAGAGTGGAATGGAAAAGATCATTGCCCTGTTCCTGGTGGAAAAGAGACACTGAGCCAAGAAAGAGGGCCAACCTGGTGTGGCTCCAGGATGCTTGGCTTAGCTAAATGGCCACGGTGGTGGCAGGCATCTGGGGAGAATCTTGAAAGTTTGGGTTGTGGAGATAAGACAGGTAACATTTCAAATCATCATGTTAGTAACCATGAGAGGAGCCAGGTTATTTTGGCTTCATCCTGCTTGTGATGACCCCTGAAGAGGAAGAACTTGGAATTACCCAATTTGTTTTGTATATTGTAAGTGGCAATGTTCACATGGAGCTGGAACTTGAGGACAGGCTGCAGAGAGAACCCCTCACCTCCAAAGAGCAGGGAGTCACCAGGAGCAAATGAATGTATGTGACAGAGGGCATGCTCAGCCCTGGGAGGAGACCGGTGACTTGACCTGGAGCCAGGCTTCCAGAGAATAAAGAGGGATGAGACAGTTCCAAGGACGCTGTAGGGAGGTGGATGAAGCAAAACAACACAGCAGCTGGCCTGGACACAGTCAGCAAGGTGAGAATCTCAGAGCTACCTCTCCATCAGTTCCATCAAGCCAGTTCCAGAAGTGGACGCCACTCCTCCCGTTTCATCTTTTTTTGGTAAGTCAACGGTGAGAGCTTTCCTTACAAACAATCCAGGCTCAGAGGCCACCTCATCCAGGCAGCAGTCTTGGAATATCAGCTAGGAGCACCCAACACCCTTGAGGAAGCCGAAAGCCTAAGCAAGCCCTTCTGCTCAGAGAGGTAAAGCATGCCCACTCTCTGGCAAACCCAGACAGAACCTCTAGAGTCATTCAGTGGCCAACCCTGTCCCTTGATGCACGAGGAGTAACCAGAGAAGGAGGGAAAACGCAAAGGCTATTCCGGGCCAGGTAACAATTCTAACCACATCACCTTCCCACAGCAGGTGCCAGGTAGAAACTATTTCTGACCATAATGCAGATAAGGAGACCAAGGCACACATAGGCAGTAAGAGGCTTATGGCTGCAGAGCCCATAAATGACCCTGATCTCAAGTTACAGTGGCTGTGCCACAGACACAAGGAGCAGGGTGGTACCAGTTGGAGACAGGGCATATGGCTTTCCCAGTGGCATCTGCAAGCCTTGCACTACCACGTCTTCTCTGAGGATAAAGCATAGCTGGCTGTAGAGCTCTTTTCACAGCACTGGAAAAAGGCTACACTCCCTCCGCACTTTCAGCAGACTCACTTCTGCTGCTCTGTGTGGTTCTTTGATGTTCTGACAGTCTCTAGCCTTGTACCATGCCCTTCACTTCCCCAGGTACGTTCTGGCTAATCCATCTCCTCTAAGACAAGGTACAGCAGTACGGACACTTTCTCTTCCCATTGGACACCATACTTACGTTTACGTAGAATGTGTGGATGCTAATCAGACAATGAGGGGTGCCAGGAGTATCCTCCAACTTGAGACACACCAAGTGCAAATGCAGGCCAAGGCAGACCCTGTGTCTGCTCTACAGACATTTCTCCCTCTGTCCAAACTCTGAGCTCTATTTGGAAATCACTTCTGCAGCCAAATCATGCTGATGGCTCCTATTCTATTGATTTGCCAGTCCCAGTCAGATTTCCAAATAGTTTTTCTC